CCTTACCGCTAAAAGCGATCTCTTCCAGGCAACCTTTGGATGGAGAGGAGTTTACTATAAACAGTTTGATCGGAGGCACGATGAAATTCTATTATTTCATTGATTTACCGACTTACGATACTATTATCCACGTATACGAAGTACAATATAATACAATACGATTTGCACAGAAATATCTAGTTTGAACTAATATGAAATAGTCGCGAATTATCCACAATATCAGACAATGCAACTGGGTTTAATGCTCGCATTCACGGCACGTCGCCGAGACGCGCTCGTGACGTTGCATCGCGACTATTGTTCGCGACAAGTCGCTACCGTCTATTGTTGCTATTTTATATAATTATGGTGAAATAGAAAATTAGACTTAACATCGTACAGTCTCTTGTATATTGATGTAATTTTTTTTAACAAAGAAAGGAGTAAAGTTTTCTTCAGGGTCGCTAACGCGCGCATAATGCCCCTGATATTGCAAGCGTTTATAGGCTAAAGTAACCGGTCACCATCAAGTTTGCCATTGCAGTTGTATAAAAAAATATTGTCCATAAACAAAGGATACGTCACACATATACAGTCGTCACAGGGAAGGCTATTCCATATGTTTTTTTTAATGGATGATAATGGAATGGTAACCACCCGCGCTATCGGTATACATCGTCGGGGCACCAGTGAAGGATGATAGGTGAGGGTGAAGTAGATCAGTTAGTCCATCGTGACAAATTCAACAAGAATTGTTCACTATGGTTTCCAGGGGGAACCACGTGGAGGTCGACCTAATAGGGTATATTGCTAGCAATGGGGCTGTCAAACTCCATTACTAACAATCCCTTTCCCCCCGGCTATTCCATATTGTTACGATACAGTTTACGTATGAGTTTGCAAAATACGCGAACGCAGACTTTCTACCGTGTAGGGATGTATTAGCTGACCCATCTTCGTGGCGCGATATTAGAAAGGGGAAGGTGGAATAAGGGAATGCAGTTTATCAGACCTTGAATCAATATTTACATTATTGTTAAAAATTTCGTAACGCATATATTTTAATGTAATATCAACCTGCATCATTTACATGTAATTATATCGAGAATGCTCGACTAGTTTCGGGATCAATTCGTGATCCTTAATCATGCCGAGCCATGCCTTTTTTTATACAACTTAGAATGGCAAACAAGCTGACGGATCACCTGATGAATAGTGGTAACCGTCGCCTATAAATATGAGCAGTACCATGGACATAACAGAGTATACTGTTTCGCCCATGATACCCCCCATGCGTTGCCATTCATGAGGACTCAGGTATTATTCCTCTGTACCCTGTAAATTCACGCCATATTCCACCCTTCAAACCGAAACACAGCCATGCAAACACAACTGCTTCACGGTTGAAACACTAATAGGACAGAGGTGTGCAAGCAAACGACTTTTGTACAAAGTCTTCCACTGGTAAACAGCTGGCTTACAGCTCGCACTCAGCAGACGTTCGTAATTATATAATATTGCTTGAACTATTTTTTTTTTTAATACTGAAGGGTTTACAACCCTCACGGTAATAATTAAGTCCATTTCAAAACACTCATCAATATCTGTCCGCTAACTATAGATACCGCCTACTCATCGAGATGAATAAAACGAGCCCACGTTGAGATTGTATGATTCTATAGCCACTTTCTGCCTCCACTATCAAACGGTTGTATAATAATTGTTTTATCATCAAAGCATACATATGTAAGTAGATACATATATGTATATAAATATGACAGATACATTTTTGTAAATTTTTAATAGTTTAGGGATGCCATATTTATTTTAGAATGTCGACACCTAGCTAATAATGCTCCTACAGTTAATATAAATGTAGTCATATACCATATAATATAAATAAAATATATGTATTACGCAATTGAACCCTGGGATCTAGATATAAGACGTAAATACATTAATAAAAAATAAAAATTTACTATAAATATTGAATAATAAAAACATACGTACGGAGTAGGCAAATTACACAAAAATATATAAACTAATACTTTAAAAGTAAAACTTTTTAAAGTTTACATTAATAACAGCGTCTCTAGATGGCCGCATCTAGCACGTAGACATGTCGCAAGCCACAACAGGCCCACGAATGGCCAGCTCCACCCGCCATTGTTGCACATGAGAAATGGCAGTGCAATTTTTCGCGCCAGCTAGATTTCCCGGGGCGCGCCAAAATGGCCGACTAAGCTGGGAAAAATAGGCTTAGCGTCATGTCACGTGTCAAATGAGAGCCGTTACAGAGTAAAGCTCGATACAGATAGCCCGCGGCGCGCTGCAATTCGGATTATTACTTTTTATTTTACTCTGTGAGTGGCAAATAATAAGTTGATGGATGTATGGAAACCGTAATAAGAAACAAGAAGGAAGCGTTCTAGACTACTGAACTAATTTACAGTAGAAGAATCGTCGTGTAGTCCCGGCATAGAATAGGCCACCCCTTTTTATATACGTTCTTCACCGTAAACACGAGCTAAATATAGTGGAAAATTAAATTATAATAGATAATTTTGGAAAAAATAAAACTCAAGGACATACATATGTAATTATATGTATATATATATTTTTTTTCAATTACAAGTATTAATACATCCAAAAATAAACAAACGAGAGACGTATTATTTAATAACAAGGTCTAAATTCTTTTGGCAAAGACAAGTTGAGCTCACCATCCTCTAATGCGCAAATAACAAACGATTGGTCATTACAACGGGTCATCAAAGCGAATTCCACTGTATTTGTAATATCAACTAAACGGTCCACATATCAAAAGCTTTGTTCACATGTATAAGTAGTGCTCTGAACCCCTGCCGATCAAACTATTTGAGCATTGGCGCGTAAATTCAATTTGCACCTCAGCAACCTCAATTATAGGGGACCCTACACACTGGAGACTGCGTCGAGGACACTCGACATCTCGCTTTGGTCCTCGTTGATTGATGGCCGACACTGATTGTAGGTCAAGTGGTTTGGAACGCTTCCTTTATACTAATAACAATTGATTTCGTATGATAGGTTTATAATAACATTTACACAGTGTTTTGATGGTGAGGTGACATCTACACTAATATTATAAAGAAGAAAGATTTGTATTTTTGCGTACATGTTTGTAATGAATAAACTCAAAAACTACTTTGCCGATTTCAAAAATTCTTGCACCATTAAAAAGATACATTCACTCTGAGTAACATAGGCTATGTTTATTGCTAGAAAAGATTTGGGATCCTTACTAAAACTTTAGTCACGTAACTCAAGGTGTAAAAAAAATGCAATAAAATATCTTTCGTCGCGTGCGCTGCGGAAACTGTTGGTGATAGAACAAAAGTATGTTCTACAATATTGAAGAAAATATCAATAACTACAAAAAACTTAACGATACTATATGTCCAACTATTATCGTTGTGTCACAATAACCACTTTTTGAAATGTTGTAAAAATGTCCACCCGTGCTAAACCGGGACGCGCCGCTAGTAATGTAATAAAGTTTGAAGAAAGTTATGGAAAAAACTGTCACTAAATACTCTATTAGACACTAGACACACTACTGTCTAGTTCCGAACTAACCACAGCTTATTGTACTGTGTGTACATACCATTGATGTATACAGAGGGAGACTTTGTACAAAAGTCGATTGCTTGGGTACGTCTGTCCCATTCGTGTTTCTATCGTGAAGCAGTTGTGTTTGCATGGCTGTGTTTCGGTTTGAAGGATGGGATATGGCGTGAATTTACAGGTTAAAACATGTTTTTTTTTATACAACTTAGAATGGCAAACAAGCTGACGACCCTGATGAAAAGTGATAACCGTCGCCTATAGACATGAGCAGTACCATGGACATAACAGAGTATACTGTTCCACCCATGATACCCCCCATGCGTTGCCATTCCTGAGGACTCAGATGTATTTCCTCTGTACCCAGTAAATTCACGCCATATCCCACCCTTCAAACCGAAACACAGCCATGCAAACACAACTGCTTCAGGGTTGAAACACGAATGGGACGGAGACAGAATGTTAGTGGTACAGTTATTTTTATTTTCGCTAGAATATAAAATTTTGCTTAGATTAGCATTTAGAAAGGATATTTGGTAATTCCCATGACAATGCTATATGCATAGTTTGGGCAGCAGACAATATTCGCGTGTGATATAGTCAACAAAGACATTACATACATAATAGGAAACTGACTGACTGGTTTACTCATAGCTGAAATTATTTATTTATTTATTTATTTATGTACACTTTATTACACCATTTATAATATAGTAAACACATTTAACTGTAATAAGAAATGATACAAAAGGCGGCCTCACCGCTAAGCAATCTCTTCCAGACAACCTTTGGGTAGAAAACATTGAGAAAAGAAAGAAAAACAAAGGGTAGGTGGCGCACTAATATATATAAACAAATATATACAAAACATACATATATATATGTATATACATATATATATACATAAACAAATACATACATAAATTACTATAGGTTTATATGTATTATTAATTTGTTACTTTGAATTTGTAAACTTATATATTAGACACTTATATATAAGAATATTGACTTAAAATTAAAAAATAATATATTACCAGAAATTCTACAACATTATTTTTATTAGTCATCAATCTCCGACCGCCAGTCCGTCCACGCACATTTGCCGACACGTGTTTCACGTCTAAACGAGGCATCTTCAGTGAAATTAATAAATCGCTTCGATTTTGAAGTGTGTTGGCAGTCGCACACATACTAATGGGTACAGGAATTAAACAAAATAATTCTAGTCTACTAACCAGTGATAAAGATTTGCGCAAAATAAAATGTAGTTTAGTAAAATGAAAAGGACAATTTTGCATGATAGAGTTTCATTGTTTTTAAGTGCGAAAGGAATGTGGGTTAAATTTATAAGCAACATACTATTGTTGAACTCGAGACGTGTAAGTTTATGAACAGTGTCAATGTTCTATCCGCAGCTCCACCAGAATGCGAGGCGGGCCAGCTGACGTGCGGCCAGTACGTGTGGAACAAAACATACTGCCTGCCGCCGCACTACCGCTGCGACATGCACGTCGACTGCGTCGACGGCACCGACGAGGCGGAATGCAGTGAGTACACCTCTTTACATTCTCTACATGCTTTTTTTTTAGTTTGTTTAGGTCAAAACTTGCAAGCACAATTTGTAACCAGTTCCGTCTAATCGATTTTGTTGACATTTCGCATACGCCTTTTGTTCTAATAACAACGCAATATGAATGTTGTGAGATTTTCAAAATAGCCATTGTTACAAGATAGTGAATAGTGGAATTTAGGCAAGTCTATTGCTATGGGTTTTAAATGAAAAATCTTGAGGAGTAAATATAGTCAAACAATAAAGAAAATTACGTCATTTTAAAATGGCCGCAGCGACAAGATGGCGGATTACATTTTGCAATGATTTTGTGATTCTATCTATATCAAATAACGTTTTTTCTCGTGTTAGTCTCAATTCATTTTGTTCTAATTGAAATAGCTTCTGTTGTTTGTGGAACAAAATCTAAAATTGCGGCGCATTTGATTTCATTTGGTGGAAATTTTACTTTATTATTTAAATATATTCCGGAAGTTCCGATTGCAAATCAAATTCGTATTGGAATCACATTAAAAGTTGCAATTAGTTTCTGCCCTGCGTTGTTGGTTAACAACCTCCGTGCGGTTAAATTCACAAGTGAACTCTACTATTGGTTTACGAGAACAGTTTCAGCTATCATAATATAACTTTTGTAACCGTTGTACTATTTTACATTTCTATACACATGACTTGATTGATACACCTTTTGTGAATACCTAAGGCAATACTGACCAGGTATGATAACAAAATAATATTATGAAACAATTTAAATATTTTTTCAATTCATTCATTTACAACTCAAAATTTCATCAAATTGCAAAAACTACAGTGTATAATGTATAGTACATAATACGGCTTTACTTGTTTGACGAAGTTCACCGTTTGATAATTGTGTTGAAACTTTAGTGTTACTTCCGAAAAATTCCGCTAATTACAGTGAAAAAATTGTAAGGATGTTTGATTCATGAATTACACTTAAATGGTTAAATAAAAATGAGCAAAGCCTTTGCTTCTACTTGCCCTAATCATCATCAACATACCTTTAACTGTCCACTGTTGAACATAAGCCTCCCACTTAGGAGGGGTTTGCCAGTAGTTGCCATGCTCGGCAAGCGAATTGGCAACCGCAGTCAAACTTTAGAGATGTTTTAAGAGGGACGCTACTGCCTATCCCTCGCCCGGCCTTAGTCGTCTCTTACGACACCCGCGGAAAAGGCAGGGGTGGCCTATTCTATCCCGGGACCACACGGCCCAATATTAATTTGTAATCATATATACAAATTCTCTTCTATTCATATTCATACTAGTGGTTCCTTTTTGTGTAACTTCATATAGTGTCAAAAAAACAAGAGGCCGAATATAGCAACCTGTTTCTTTAAGAGACGATTTGCAAATGAAACATTTAAACCAAATAATCTAGACCTTCCGCGTCACTGCACCGTTGGGGGAGGTGGAGGGTGTGCCACTCACGTCGGAGTTCAAAATAATCTGGCACCAAGTGGAGGCAGTTCCAACAAGTGGGCAAGTTTTAATGGTGTGGAAATTGCGTTTTTGTTTGTCGCCCGTATCACTGATGTGCCTGTTTTCATGTAAATCTGTTGCCCCTACACTTCACGGATGGAGTTACAAGTTTCTCGGGTATGCATTAACTCTTTTGTAGAACTTTTCTAAATTGTATTTTTAGGATGTTTTGTTTAGTTTATAAACAATACGAACACATTCTATGGTCTATTCGATTGTAGCTACGTAAAGGTTTGCAACACCAGTGGTATCCCACGCGAGTAGCCGAATCTTATGTAATAAATATTTTAAGTCTTAGTAATTTCACTCATTGTACAAATTAAAGACCTCTTTATTTATTTAATCTGTTTAAACCAGAACATTGCGGGGGAAGGGACTGTTAGCAATGCGGACTACTAGTCCCATTACAAGCAATATACCCTGACAGGTCAACCTCCATGCGGTTCTCTCTAAAAAACCATCGTGCTGAATTCCAGGTATATTTATCACGATGGGCTAACTGAACTGCTTTTTCAAATCCACCTGTCATCCCCCACTGGTGCCCTAATAGCATATACTGTTAGCGTAGGCGGGGTTACCACTCCATTATCATCCATCAAAAACAAAAACCAGAACATTGCATGCAAGCAAATTGTTTAGTAGCCTAATATGAATGGTGGAATAGAGTTCGTGTATATAGACGACTCATGTGGACGCCTTAATACAGTTTTACTGTAGACAAAAAAAACGAATAATTTAATGTAAAAGTTACTTTCTGTGACCTGCAGTAGATTAAAAATACTATTGAATTATTTAGATTCCATCTTTAATGAGTCTGAAAGTACTGATATATCAAATTGTAAGAAGACGGATTTTTGCTTCAGTCCTGTTTCAAACTTTTGTTGATCTTCTGTTTGCGATACCACAAATAAACTTCTTGTTAACTTAATCTATTACGCTCTAAGGATAAAACGCATTTCACAAGAATAAAACACACTGCTCACTCCACAGCTCGTAGGACAAGTTTTTAATAGATCACAACTCTTCTATACTTTCTCTGCAGTTCTCTGAAACATTCATTTATGCCTCGGGAATAAATCTGCAAGTTTCTTACTAGTTGTTTATTAATGAAGGCTTGTTGCTACTAATTTTTTATTATGAACTTGTTTTACAAAGAGACTTTTTCTTTTAAATATAATCAAACTTCTTCTTTGTCATGAAATAAATGTCTAAAATAAAATAACCTTAAACCCTTTCACACTATCCAGATGTTCTTATTATGTAGAATTTGAAAAGGTCGTACTTGAGCTCTGGCCAAAACGGTTAAACATTTGTTTTATCAATTGTAAATTTCCTGCAATACTAGTGAACAATGCAATTTATCGAAGAAACATTCGGAACTATGCCACATTCCAATATGTTTGGTAAAATGATCAGTGTTACGTTCGTCGTAACAACAACATTTTAAAAATTTACTTATATGTAGCAAAATTATTAGTGGGCCAATAAGGGAGGCAGTAATTTTCATTTGAATTATTTCCAAAATTGTTCTCTAGTAATCTATCTGGTTCCTGAATAAAGACACAAGGGTATTCGAGCCCGGCCTTCCAAGCTACTGTAAATTCTGGTCAGCATTCCCTTTGCAACTGCAGTTCCTTTATTTTTCTTTCTCCCATTAATCGTTCATTTCTTGTTTACCAACTTCCTATTACACTCCCAACGTTCCTTTTCTTTTCCCTTAATTTTTTTCTCTAACTATACATATACTCGTATAGTTTTTCATTATAAAGTAACTACTATTATTATAAAACATTGATCAGGATCTAAATACCAATAATAATAATTCGAGTGAAGTATAAACCTTTTTTGAAATATTTTCTCTCATAAATGCAGCTTCAAGTTAAAAAAGTAGAATTTCCCTAGAAGCAAAATTTTTCCATTACATTTTTTTAAACTTAATCGAAGTACTGAGATTACTTCGAGAGCAGGTTTAAGTACTTATTTCCACAAAAAAATCCTTGTTTGCCTTTTATTTATTGAAAATATAACAAATTGCATTTATTGAATATAATATAAAATGTAGTCGTATGTAATGAATGTTAGGTAGCTACGCCACTCGTAGAATAATTGGATATGTAGTTAAAAATTTACTGAGCCGTCTATCTTGTCGACAATTGGTACCATTCTACGAGATTGCATCGCCCGTTGCTCCCAAGCGGCTCAGACTTATTGTGTGCCGGCAGATTTGTTTCAGTGTTTGCTGGTTTTGTTAACTTTAGCCCAACGTCTACAATAGAATCGAGATCCCCGATGACAACGACACGAGAAAAGTGATAAGGACCTCGGAAAAAGGGTTTCAATTCTAACACCTTTCAAGATTTGCCGATTTATGCGAGTGTAAAGTTTTTCGTTTAACGCAATTCCATTTCTGTGTGTGACAGCAACTAGAAAACGGTTCTTTTCGTTGCCTCTACTCGTCACACTTTCATAATACGTTTAAAAAGTTTAAAACTTTACTTCTCATCGTAGATAACTAATTGAAAATAAATGAATACCAGAATAATTGAGCATGAAAAATTTGTCCTTCGCAATGGTATTTTGTAATATCATTAACATAGAATGTCTCTGTGCAGAACTACGCTTCAAGAATTTTCAATAAATACCCATATTAAAAATACTTTATTGCTGTTATAACGGCTAAATTTTAATTTGATCCGAGAATTCTTAATAGCGTTTATAAATAATTTTAATGCAAGAAGACGTCTACAGAATAGACAGAGGGAGACTTTGTCCAAAAGTCGTTTGCTTGGGTACCTCTATCCCATTCGTGTTTCAACCGTAAAGCAGTTGTGTTTGCATGGCCGTGTTTCGGTTTAAATTCTGTTCGGGGTGTATCATGGGCGAAACAGTATACTCTGTTATGTCCATATCTATAGGCGACGGTTACCACTTTCCATCAGGTGGGCCGTCAACTTATTTGCCATACTAAGTTGTATAAAAAAAAGACATTCTCTTTATGATGTGAACGAATCGTAATTATAACTTGATATTGTTTTTGTTTTTCGACGAATATGTGAATAGACAGTATAGTGAGAACTGAACCCTTTACTCTCTTTCTATCTACCTTTTTTTATAAAACTTGGAATGGCTATCTCACCTAATAAAATTTCTATATCAAGACCTTTCTAGATGACGGATTCCCATTAAATGGATCAGGGTAAAGAATTTTTAGAAACAACCTGCACCAGCGCAGGATACCAACCAAATTTGGATATGGGTAGTTGTTACCTCATCCTGCCTAGTAACAAGAACGTAGTAAGGACAGGGCATAAGAATAAATAATCTCCTATAATCTTTATGCCTACAGATGTTTTCAGTGGCTTCTTTGGCAATAGTTTCACACCTGAATCTAAAATATACAGAATGTATAAATCTATTCTTTCTCTCTCTCTCTCTATCTCTATCTCTTTCACCTTGCTTCTAAGTTGTTTAAAAAGATAGAGATTCATTCACTCCCATTATACTGTCTAATCGTCTTATTCTGTCTTATTGAAAATTAGAATTGTGACTATAGATAAATGGAAGTATATAAATTGACACTACATCATTGGATCTTAAAGCACCTACTGCCATTACGTAGCGGCGGAGCGGACGACTCCTAGATTGAGTCGACTTTACGATCGGTGATCCTTCCATAGATACGACGTTCACACAAGTCGGTATTCTTGGAGACAATTTCCTGTGGATCTGCGAATGTAGAACGAGCTTATCTACTTGTTGTCAGGAAAATTGGAAATTAAGAGTGAATACATAATTCCCATTTTTTTCGTTTCAGTATTAAAGTATTCTATCTTTGTTTTGCTTATTTTTTCATTGTTATTCTTGATTTAAAACAAATAGCAACATATTGATTTGGAATTTTAACTTCTAGTTCTGAAAATTTAGATTTCATTACTAAGACTAATTATTAAAGTTGTTTCCTATATTTCTTTAAATTAATTTAACTTTATCTAAAGATTTTATGTACATTTTTAAATTTAAAAAATGCTGATATTATTTCATTGGAGATAATTTTATTAAATATATTTCGGTTAAAAATAATAGTAACAACAGGGTAGAAAAGAAATTATCAGACTCTATAATTCGACTAAAATTCCAGGCACAGCTGATTTAGGAGAGCCAACCTCACATAAAGTGGAAAAGAGCTAAGTACAAGAAGATAGATTAAATACATTCCAGTTCTGTCACCTATCCAGTGTACGTAATACATAATTCTCATTTTATTCGTTTCAGTAAAAAAATCAAAAGATAATTTTACTAGAATAAAATTTCTAATCAACGTCGTATCCAATATTAGGACACGCTAAATACATCTTGTTCTGTCAAATCCATTATATATATATATATATATATATATATATATATATATATATATATATATATATATATATATATACACTCCTCTCCATCCAATAGTTACCTGGAAGAGATCGCATTTAGCGATAAGGTCGCCCATTGTTTTCTCAATAAAGAGTATCTATCTATCTATATTGTTAAAGAAATATCGGAGTACTTTGCGGTCACAATTTCACCTAAATAGTGTGAGAATAGAACCGGTGCAGTCAAGTGGACGGCGCGGGTCACTTCCGGGCCAGCGAGCGGTCAGCTGGTTGGATCCGTTACTCACATTAAATTATCTCTTATTGTTGTCCTCTAAACTTTAATAATATCATTATCATCATACCAGCTTTTAACTGTCCACTGCTGGACATAAGTCTCCCCTTAGGGGGTTTGCAAATAATTGCCACGTTTATATTAGCAACCGCAGTTAGGCTTTGGATATGTTTTAAAGGGGGCGTCCCCTGTCTATCTTTCGTCCTCCCTTAGTCGCCTCTTACGATACCCACGGGAAAAGAAGGGGTGGCTTATTCTATGCCGGGACCACATGGCGGCTTTATAATATAATTATATGCAAAGTATTCTCAAGTAAGTATAAGCCTAACTGCGGTCGCCAACCCGCCAGTCAAGCGTCGTAACTACTACTGTTGTAGCTAATTATGGTATATTGTTCATAATGATAAATAAAGGAATATAATTATGTAATCTTAACATCTCACCAGAGGGAGACTTTGTACAAAAATCGATTGCTTGGGTACCTCTGTCCCATTCGTGTTTAAACCGTGAAGCAGTTGTGTTTGCATGGTTGTGTTTCAGTTTGAAGGGTGGGATATGGCGTGAATTTACTAGGATACAGAGGAATAACACCTGAGTCCTCAGGAATGGCAACGCATGGGGGGTATCATGGGCGAAACAGTATACTCTGTTATGTCCATGGTACTGCTCATGTCTATAGGCGACGGTTACCACTTTCCATCAGTTGGGCCGTCAGCTTGTTTGCCATTCTAAGTTGTATAAAAAAAAATCTTAACATACAGTCCACACACTAATACATTCAAATGTACCATACATCCATACATAACGCACACAAACACACTACACGTCGTCATCTGATGTTTTATGATATAAGTATCAGTAAAAAGGGATTGTTACTTCAGTTCACAATAAAACAATGTAGTGAGAAGACGTGTCATTTGATTTTCTAAAACAGATCAAGCATAAACATTTTTGAACCTTAAGTGCTACAACAACTACCAAAACCCCCTTATGGGGGAGGTCTGTGTTCAGCAGCGGACACCTAACGGCTGACATCATAATGATGATGATGAAGTTGCAAATGTTCTTCAAAATTCATTCTTAAACGAGAAGACTACGTGTGAATATGTAAAAGTCGTTATTATCCATTGCACCGATGAACCAAGTCTGCATCACCGTATTTGTGTTTTAAAATTGCAATTTTCCTTTCACATCTTTTGCATCAATTTCCATGAAAAACGTATTTAAAGTTGCACAAAAGCTCATAAAACAGTAACCCTTATAAACAGTGCCGCTGGAAAGGCATCACGAGGCCGGCGCCACTCCACTCCGCTCAAAGGCGCCCTCTATCAGGGGTTTTACATAACTTTGTATGAAAATCGCATTATCTCGCTTGGCAAGTCGACTTGTCTCGAAAACATTTTGTTGCAAAAAACAGCTAGCAGTTTAGCATTTTCATGCGCTCTGCACTAACCCTCGCCCCGTCCGCAGTGAACGTGTCAAGTTGTATCCGTTTGTAATAATACATTATTTACATGTATATAATGTTTTCTCAAACATGCTTGGAAATGTGAGCATTATTTTGACAATCTTCTTAGAGATAAATCAAAATTGCCGTTCTGGCCAGATACATGCGGGCAGCGGGCGGCAAAAGTTGTATGAAAATCCATATCTGTCGTGTTTTGCGGCCAGATAAATTACTATATAAACTCATATCTGTCCTATAATTTAAAAATGGAATGACCTTTTACTTCGAAACGTGGCTACAAAGGAGGTAACTAATAAAAGGTTTTATTTAAATTTCGAACTGGTTTGCAAATTAAAAGCTGTTAATTGAAAAAAAAACAAAGGAACATTATGGCGCATGAAAAATTATTATTGTTCGTTATCCGTCATTGAACTTAAAAAGTAAAATTGTGTTTTTGATTTCCGCGCATTGTTTGAGAAAAGTACTATACAAGCCTTGGCCACAACTAGGCATTGACTCATAGGCATGCAGCGACCAGCAACTAGGCATTGTCCATCAATGCCTCAGTTGCTGGCCGCTGCAGTAATGTACTATTTCATCAGAATCATTACATTTATACATCTTCATTATCCCGCTACTTCGATCGTCTAATTTAGGAAAAGATATGGTACTTTTTGTAGGGTATATGTGCCTAGTATGTTATGTGGATCTGAAATATGATCTATCTATACATCTAAATTCATTCTAACTTTTTTAGTCAATTGAATAATAAACATTATCTTTAGAAACAATTTCATTTATAATGACTTATAATGTATCTCATTTTATTCCAGCATACCGGAAGTGTCTACCAGATGACTTCCAGTGCGGCGTGGAGGGTGCTAGCAGTGGCAAGATCTCTTCACAGGGGCCCTGCATACCTAAAGACAAAAAATGCGACGGGTAAGTGGATACGTAAGCGATTTCGAAAACCCTCTCTGGCAAGATCAGGCAAATGTACAGACATTTGACTCCTCTAAAACTTTGCACGGAATCTCATTCTCTATATAGCTTATTCATCAGGATTTTAATAGCTTGTTACGTTTCTGAGTGACCAAAAAATATGCATCTACTCCTTTCACGCTTATAATTTAGTAATGGGGAATACAGCATGCCAACGCAAGAGTAGATTCTTGATTACCCTATTGTCTAGATGCTGGGCTAGCGTGGTATATTTATAATAGCTTAATATCATCATAATATGTAATTTTAGTATGTATGTATATCAATAATTAGTAGTACCGCATTCGAGTATTCTGACACTTCCCTACGGTTGACTGGGAGAGAATGCTTTTAGCATTAAGTCCGCCATGTACACATATTTGTACTAATGAATAAATAAAATAAATAATATAGAAAGAAACCCGTGTTTAGCTGTGGACCAATATAGGGTTGTTATGAGAATTTTTCATATAAGTTTAGTAAATCCATAAATTATCCCCTGTATTACAAATTTTGTCTTCATAATAAAAGCTCTTAAGAGACGACAAGAGGAACACAATACAATACCGTATGGTCCCGGCATAGAATGGACCATCCCTTTCTTTTCCGTGTGTGTAGTAAGAAACGACTAAGAAAACTGAATGGTCGAGGGATGGACAGCAGCGTCCCTTTTAAAACATCACCAAAACCTAACTGTAGTGCCAACCCGCCTGCCAGAACCCTCTTATGAAGGAGGCGTGTGTTCAGCAGTCGGCAGTTAACGACTGATACGATACACAGTACAATACCCAAGCTGCTTGGCCAACGTAATAATGTTTAAACATCTTCCCCCTCCTCTTGCGAGGAGGAAGCAGTACCCTAGAGAGTGATATTGGGCACACCTAAAGGATCCCCGTCTTTTGTGTGTTGGAGTAGGAACTCCAACACACCAAAGACGGGGATGCTTTAGGATGCAGAGGACTGTAGATTTACATGTTTCGTTTATCGAATTATTCCCCACCAGGTACTTAGACTGTAGAACGGGTAAAGACGAGCAAGATTGTCCGGGCAACGGCATCCCGTGCCGACTGGACCAGTTCAGGTGCGCGTCAGGGAACAAGTGCGTCGACGCGACGGCCAAGTGCGACCACAAAGATGACTGCGGCGACAATTCGGATGAAGCTCTATGCAGTGAGTACAACGATCATGATATTTTTTAAATAATGTTTTTTAAATTAATGCCATCTTAATATTTAAAAATCCTACGTCCAATTTTTAAATGGACGTAGGATTGTGGACGTAGGATGGATTACGGTAGTAAAATTATTCGATTTAAAAGAATATTGCTTTCCATCAACTAGGCCATCAGATTGTTGAATATTTACAAAAAATAAATGGTAGTTGCGGTGACAGTGGTAACAAAGTGGTTACAATCATGTCCATACATTAAAAACATACGTCATGTTTTGCCACCTCTATGAACGTACTTTTCTCTTGTATTCGTCATATTATCGTCATATCCGTGTTTCAACCGTGAAGCAGTTGTATTTGCATGGCTGTGTTTCGGTTTGAAGGGTGGGATATGGCGTGAATTTACTGGGTACAGAGGAATAACATCTGACTCCTCAGGAAGTGCAACGCATGGGGGGGGGGGGGGGGTATCATGGGCGAAACAGTATACTCTGTTATGTCCATGGTACTGCTCATGTCTATAGACGACGGTTACACTTTCCATCAGGTAGGCCGTCAGCTTGTTTGCCATTCTAAGTTGCATAAAAAAAATGCATTTTACTGTTTTTTTTCCAATGTATTTTAAATACAGTGTATCTCTTTTTTTCAATAAACACAACAAAATACACTTTGCGTTTAAATCATCATCTTAATCCTTGGGGGTTAAATGTGAAGCTGTGGACCTTCAACGTTTAGAAATCTTCGGAACGATGAGTACGCTCCATGAGGCCTGTGAAGATCCCAAGAAGCTTTTGTGCTTTAGGGCGGAGCTGGGCTAGCCGTACTAGCCACGACTAATACGCACAACAGCCCAAATGAGAGGCTAAATGCAGAAAAGAGAGTCCAATTTACATTACATTCCTTGGGAGTACTGGTAGTCGTGGACGAGGTTTATGGAGTTTGTCTGGATGTCACCATCAATTTACAGTAAAACTCCATCTAAGATGTAACAATTAGACCGTTACTTAAATTGCTGTGAAGAGTGATAAAAGTTATATTGTTATTTTTCAGATTTCCCAGCGTGTCATATCGGACAGTTCAGGTGCACTAACTCGCTGTGTATCCCGGCAACATACCACTGCGACGGATACAAAGACTGTTCAGACGGCTCGGACGAGGCCAACTGCACCGCGGTTGCGTGTCCCGACAACAAGTACCTCTGTCCCAAGGGCGGCGCCGGCGGAGCGCGCAAATGCATCTCCAGGTCTCAGCTGTGCGATGGAAAGAAGGACTGCGAAGACAACGCTGATGAAGAGGAAGCCTGCTGTGAGTCAATGAATTAGTAAAATTTGTTTTATTCCAGTATGTGTATGTACTTCAAGGTTTGAAAGGGTTTAAACGTGCAGGAGTTTTGTTAATGATGGAAGGAAGTACTAAAATAGAATGTAATATAGTATAATGTAGTTGAATATTAAAAACGTTTGAATAAAACATTTATACGAAATGAAAATTGTAAAATGAAATTTGGCTTGCTTATTTTATATCAGATTTTTACTGGATGCTGTTTTTATTCTATTTTTCGACGCTGAAACTTCAAACATTCGTCCAACTAGAGACGATTTAGTCCATGTTAGAGTTACAATTTGGATAATTATGTCTATCTTTAATTGGAGCTTAATTCACCACTCCGCGAGGAATGAACTTTGAAAATAATCATCCAACGCGTCTGTATCTCTCTAATATTGATACCATTAATATGTAAATCCTTAAAGATCGTTATGGTTAGACAATCAGTTAAGATGTATATTGCCAGCTCCTGTCCATAGAAAAGTGTATATACATGTGCATCGGTTTCCCGAGCAGCGACGGTGTCCTGCCCGGCGCTGGAGTGCGAGTACAAGTGCGTGGCGTCGCCGGCGGGCGGCGCGTGCAGCTGCGCGGCGGGGCTGGCGCTCGCGGCCGACAACCGCACGTGCGTGGACCGCGACGAGTGCAAGGAGTGGGGCTACTGCCACCAGCTGTGCGTCAACACGCCCGGCTCGTACGAGTGCGCGTGCGCGCCCGGCTACGCACTGGTGGGCGGGCAGCGCTGCGCCGCCGTGGGGCCGGGCGGCGCGGGCGGCGCGGGCGGCGCGGGCGGCGCGGGCGGCGCGGGCGGCGCGGGCGGCGCGGGCGGCGCGGGCGGCGCGGGCGGCGCGGGCGGCGCGGGCGGCGCGGGCGGCGCGGGCGGCGCGGGCGGCGCGGGCGGCGGGGACGGCGCCGCGCTGGCGCTGGCACATGAGCGCGCCGTGCTACGCATGGACCTTCACGGCCGCGCGCCCGCGCCCATCGCCAACGCTACCGCCGCCGCCGGCCTCGACTACCACTACAAGAAGAACCTGCTCTTCTGGTCCGACCTCAAGACTAGGAAGGTGGGTCTCCGGTCTCCGTGATTACTAGTCATAGCTCGTTATCGCTCTATTGAAAGGGCACCTCTCTGTGCACCTTCGGTTATTGGTGATCATTAACAAAATCAAATCTCGTTTATTAAAAGCAATTGTACGGTTTAGATTCACGAAATTTCAAATAGCATACAAAGAGTATAAACCGTGATGGATTTAATTCCAACAGTGTCTTGTAAATTTTAACTAAATTCGCATAGTATTTTAAAATGATTTAATTCAATAGAATCTCATTTTGTTGAAAACTAAAATGTACAATATCTGTATTACATGTAGGTACATAACACATAAAGTGATACACCTACCCCGTAGTTCTTATACATATATATATATATATATATATATATATATATATAGTGCATACCTATTATATCGCTATCTTTGTTTTCCACATCACAAAATCGTAACATCAATGCTAAGTAAAGTATTAGCAGGAACCGAATAAAAATATGTCCACTGAATCCCGTTACAGATCCACTCACAGCCGCTGAACGCGCCGGCGGGACTGAGCAGCTACGCGGACAGCGACATTTCGGTGGCGGGCTCGTGGGCGCCAGTAGCGCTGGCCGTGGACTGGGTGGGTGACAAGCTGTACGTGGCCGACGCCATCGGACAAAAGGTCGACGTGTTCGAATTAGACGGCCGCTGGCACGCCGTTGTACTCGGCTCAAACCTCACCAGCCCCGCCGACCTCGCGCTCGACCCCACGCTCGGCTTTATGTTCGTCGCTGACAGTAGCCAGGTAAATACATCAATCAGAAGGCACCTCTATACGGAATACAGTAAAAACCACTCGTGTTTCTACTATGAACCAGCTGTACTTGCGTTGTTATGCTTCGGTTTGAAACATGGAACTTAAATTATAGGGTATAAAAGTAGCAATGCAAAAAAGAAACCATGGGTATCATTGTGATCTGATGTACATGTCTAAAGGCAATGATTCACTTTCTTGACGGTGAATTGTCAGTTTATTTATCATCTCATAAAAAAGAGAAATATTTTTTATACTACAAAAGTAACAAACAAGCATAACACTCGTTCGATGGCAAACGGTTACTACAATGATAAACCTGCAACACCAAACTTCACACTATTGACCCTAAAGAAATCTTACTCTCTTATTAAAGAACCCCATGCTGTAATCTCTAAGGAATACCTCGGAACAATTATACTCTTGTTTAAAGTTCAAAGTTGTATGATTACGTGTTATCTGTAAAGGATTTGCGGTTTAATCAATTACAACATTCGTTTGATAATGTCACATGTGAGATTACCAGTAAAATAGATAATCATCATGAAGTATTTTTAATATATGACACATACAACTAAACTCGATTGACCTTGCACTCTTTTGTTAATATTATTTAAAACTTAATCTTAAACGACAAAACTCATTAAGCATAATCTTGATTCTGCTAATTTCAGCTTTTTCGTTTCCAGATTATTCGAGCTAATATGGACGGAACGCACGCGAAGTCAATAGTATCAGAAGCGGCTTACAAGGCCTCCGGTATTGCTGTAGATATTATAGCTAAGAGAGTATTTTGGTGCGACTCACTTTTAGATTATATAGAAACTGTAGATTATGACGGAAACCATAGGTTCTTAGTTTTAAGGGGTCAGCAGGTACCCAGCCCTTCTAGATTAGCTTTATTCGAAGACAGGGTATACTGGTCGGACAGCACGAAACAGGGCATCAGCTCGGTCAACAAATACGAAGGTTCTGCCAGTATACAAGCCATATATAAAATGAAAGATATTAGAGATCCCAAAGCTATAACTGTGATACATTCTTTAAAACAAACTTCTGTAAATAATCCATGCGGTAACAACAATGGTGGTTGTGCTCAGATGTGTATTGTGACGGCACTCCCGAACGGCGGATTGGGCTACCGATGCGCCTGTAACATCGGATATAGGTTAGAAACGGACTTAAGAAACTGTGATCTTGTACAAGAGTTCCTCATGTATTCTCAACAGAGGTTTATAAAGGGGAAAGTATTGAATCCCGTCATAGAAGGCTTCAGCGAGGCCATACTCCCTGTGGTTTCTAAGAGAGCCAGGTTCGTAGGATTGGATTTTGACTCGAAAGACGAACATATATATTACTCTGACGTGTTACAAGATGTTATTTATAGAGTACATAGGAATGGAACAACGAAAGAAATTGTATTAGCATCTCAAAACGAGGGCGTCGAAGGTCTAGCTGTGGACTGGGCGTCCAAAAATTTGTACTATATTGATTCAAGGAAAGGTACACTGAATGTATTATCAACTAGAAACGTTTCATATCGGAGAACACTCCTGAAAGACTTGAAGAGGCCACGTGCTATTGTAGTACATCCAAACAAAGGTTATATCTTCTTTTCGGAGTGGGATCGTCCCGCTAACATCAGCAGAGCCAACACTGATGGTACTGGTTTACTTGTATTTGAGAATGTTACCCTTGGTTGGCCAAATGGTCTTTCTATAGATTTCGATACCGACCGACTGTACTGGTGTGACGCTTTATTAGACCATGTTCAGCATTCGAAACTAGACGGCACAGATGTACAGACAGTAAACTCCAGATTAATAAGACATCCTTTCTCCATTGTTATTCATAAAGAGTTCATGTATATAACTGACTGGAGGTTGGACGCCATTATACGTCTTCATAAACTGACTGGTGAACAAGAAGACGTAATGGTTCGGGAGCCTCAAACGAACCGGCTCTATGGTGTGAAAGTATATAGCGAGGCAGTCCAGAAAATAGATCCCATGCAGCCTTGCGCTAGAAGTAATGGAAATTGCCAAAAACTTTGCTTCGCCGTACCGAGGAACAATACAGAATTATTGACGGTGAAGTGTGGTTGTCCCTACGGGGAGAAATTGGCTCCCGATGGTACGAGTTGCGTGGCGGACCCTAACTCGGAGCCACCGGTGCGCGCGTGCCCAAATACCTGGGACTTTACTTGCAACAACCAACGGTGCATCCCCAAAAGTTGGGTTTGCGATGGAGACGATGACTGCTTAGATAACAGCGACGAGGAATTCGCCAATTGCACCAGTAAGTTGAATTTTTTATGTTTATTTAAGTCGTTAAGTCTGTAAAATTTAATATTCTCTGATTAATCTTTTGTATTTTCATAATTAAGATAACCTATAGCTTGCATGGTTAATCACGAATAACTCATTGTTAATTTAACTTAATAATCTCTTGTTTTTAATTTACCAGATGTATAACTGAACTTCACCTTGTATAAAAGTGCCAATTAATTATTTTAAAACATGTGATAAAAAAAAAAAATATTTTGTTTGGTCTGTTCAGAATCAACATGCAGCGCGTCGGAATTTATGTGCAAGTCCGGACGCTGTATCCCAACAACGTTTAAATGTGACTCTGAGAACGACTGCGGTGACTTTTCGGATGAGACGGGCTGCATTAACGTAACATGCAGCTCGTCGCAGTTCCAGTGCGACAACGGCCGCTGCGTGCCTAATACGTGGAAGTGCGACTCGGAGAACGACTGCGGAGATGGTTCCGATGAAGGCACACATTGCGCCGAGAAGACTTGCGCTTACTTCCAGGTCAGCATTTACTGACTTTTAATTAAGACTAAAACTATGGTTCTAAATACGAAGTCCCTTCATTATAAATATAACGGTATCCATAAAATAAGGCTGTACCTAAAACTTACTTGTTGCTCATCCAAGCCCACTTGAGAAATTTTACTTGCATACATGTGCTTTAAATTTACTTCTGCACTCTCTACCATAAAGCGCTGCATATTTTGAAGACAATATGTCACTAACGTCAGAATGAGACTGGATGTAAATCTGCCTTATCTTATTAAGTACAGCACAATAATAGTACTTCTTTTATTGCCCTAGGATTGCAAAAAACACAAATACAAACAAACTTATAATTACAAACTTACGCCACATTCTTGAATAAGGTGCAATTATACCGCATGACATTTGATATATTCAAAAAACAGTGGTACGAATTAGACAAAAATACTGAGTAACAAGGTGTATGACATCGGTTGCAGTTCACGTGTCCGCGGACCGGTCATTGCATCCCGGCATCCTGGGTGTGCGATGGGGACGACGACTGCTTTGACAAGCAGGACGAGGCCGATTGCCCGCCCGTGTCCTGCCTCGCCAGCCAGTTCAAGTGCGCAGACCTCAAGCAGTGCGTGCAGGTAACCATTTTGTGGAAGTCCATATCACTGGTTATTGTACTCGTATTAGAATTATTTTGTTTAATTCCGCTACTATTAGTATTCGTATTCCTGCCAATTGCTGCCAACTCTGCCGATTGACCACCATTATTACTATCAGAACTAACATGGAAGGTTGTGGAATTTTAGGTAGTAATAATGGTGTTTAATCTTCGAATGTTGGCAATCACACACATACTATTGTTAGAAAAATTAAACAAAATAATTTTAATCAAATAAACAGTGTAAGTAATTATTCACTCCTTCTTAAAAACTTTATGTTCGATCAAATGATGATAAATACATATATATATATATATATATATATATATATATATATATATATATATATATATATATATATATATATATATATATATATATATATATATATATATATATATTTTAATCTATATTTATGTTACTGTATTTCACTTGAATTATTCAATTGCTTTTATATATTTATTTATTTCAAACTTTATTTCACCATTTATAAATTAGTGAATACATTTAATTGTAATGAGAAATTTATATAATTATGTTTCTGGTGCAATAAAGAGTTAAATAAATAAATTATTTTTTGGTTTTGCAACTACCTACACCATATAAATCTATTTCCCTTTTTGCCTACTCCATAAGAAACTTAAATCTTAGAGTAACTATATTAAAGAAAATATGAAATTGAATGAAAGAATCCTTATTATGCCTGCCACTAGGAAGCGTATAAGTGCGACGGCATCCCGGACTGCAACGATGGCAGCGACGAGGCGGGCTGCCCATCACTGGCACCGCACCAGTGCCAACCCGACAAACAGTTCCAATGCCGCTCCTCCGGGATATGCATTCCTACAACTTGGTATTGTGATGGTAAGTTGAATAAAATGCTTAAATCCGATATTCATAGATTTTTTAATTCAATGTTCACATCCGGCTTGAAGGATCATAACATATTTACGATTACAATTATTCGTATTAATTTATATAATTTCTATTTTTCATTCTTCTATTTATTACTACATCCAAGTTATTATTACGATTAGCATCAAAATATTGAAGAGATAAAAGGAAATTTCATTTAGCTATTTAGCTTTAGGTACGTTTCATTATTGTGTATATCATACGTACAATATGTAGTTCCATAAAATCATAACTAGGCAGGATTTAGTAAAATTTTAAAGATTGCTTTTGAGCGATCTTCACAGGCTACATTTGAATGTGAATGCAATGGTGGCGATGTGTATAGGTACGCCGGACTGCGAGGATCTTTCGGACGAGCCAGCATCATGCGGCGCCGTGCAGTGCGCCGCCAACCACTTCCGCTGCGACAACGGCCGCTGCGTGTTCAAGGCCTACGTATGCGACGGCAACGACGACTGCGGCGACGGCTCCGACGAAGGCCTTCAGCACGCCTGCAAGCCTCCGCCCTTCAGGTAACTGAACCTACTGTTCGCAAAAATCGCGATATCTTTTCATTTATTACCATTGCCCTGCATTTGAAGCCATATTTTTACCCAATTTTTAATATAGACATCTTTCTTCTTTTTTTATAATTCTACTGTTCTTTGCTATATATAGTCTTTGTTAGTCGGTCTATACCTTTTTTTTTCGTTTTTATTTTTAATTGTAATAGATAAAGTATAAATCGGCTTTAATTTTTATTTCTAGATGCCCATCGGGCCAATGGCAGTGTCCTGGAATCACCGGTCGGTGTATTAACATTACACAAGTATGCGATAACAAAGTCGACTGCCCCAATGGCGCAGACGAAGGTAACTTACATACCTACCGATATAATGAATACTATTTTATTTTTTTATTTTTTTACGATTTTATGTATCTTTAGGTGCCAGCTGTGACTTTGCTGAATGCGAACACCAAGACGGGCTCTGCTCTAACAAGTGTAAACAGACACCAAACGGCCCGCTGTGCCTGTGCCCGGACGGCGAGGAACTCGACACCGACGGCTACAACTGCAAGGACATCGACGAATGCAACCCACCCGGGCTGTGCTCGCAGGTGTGCACCAACACGAAGGGCTCATACGCGTGCGGCTGCGTCGACGGCTACCGGCTCACCGCCGACAACCGCACCTGCAAGGCGAACAACCACTCCAGCGCGTTCCTCATCATCTCGAACCGGCACTCGATCCTCGTCGCGGACCTCGACGAGCAGGGGCTCGAGCGCGTGCCGATCAACGTCGAGAACGTGGTCGCGACCGCCTCGAACATGCACACCGGCACGATATTCTGGTCAGACATGAAGCTGAAACGGATCTCGCGGCTCGACCGCGGCGGCGAGCCTCGCGCGATCATCACGACCGGGCTAGACCTGGTGGAGGGGCTCGCGTACGACTGGGTGGGCGGCAACGTATACTGGCTGGACAGCAAGCTGGGCGCCATCTCGGTGGCGCGCGAGGACGGGTCGGCGCGCGCGGCGCTGGTGGCGGGCGGCGTGGCGCAGCCGCGCGGGCTGTGCCTGGACCCGGCGCCGGGCGCGCGGCTGCTGTTCTGGACCGACTGGGGCGAGCGGCCGCGCCTCGAGCGCGCCGGGCTCGACGGCTCCGCGCGCCAGGAGCTCATCTCCACCAAGATCTACTGGCCCAACGGGCTCACGCTCGACACGGCCGCGCGCCGCGTCTACTTTGCCGACTCGAAGCTCGATTTCATCGACTTCTGCAACTACGACGGTACGGGCCGGCAGCAGGTGCTCGCGGGCAGCCACTACCTGCTGCACCCGCACTCGCTGACGCTGTTTGAGGACACGCTGTACTGGACGGATCGTCAGCTGAACCGGGTGCTGTCGGCGCACAAGTTCCGCGGCTCGAATCAGACGGTCGTGTCGCACCTTATATCGCAGCCGCTCTCGATTCACGTGCATCACCCGTCGCTGCAGCCGCAGTATCCTTCACCGTGCCGGCCGGACTCGTGCCAGCACCTCTGTCTATTGAGCCCGAACGAGAGCGTCCCGTACACGTGCATGTGCAAACCTGGATTTAAACTGTTGCCAGACGGAAAGTGCATCGAAGGTAAATCAATTTTGTGTCACTTCTGTACTGGGTCACTTTCTTGTAAATAAAATGCAGTAATATAATCTAACGTAAACAAATGTCGTTTCAGAGGAGCAATCGTATCTAATGGTACTGAAGGGTTCGCAAATCATCGATCTGGCGATGGACGGCTCGGGTAGAGCAGGACAACTAGACTCAATTGTCGGCATTCAAGGTACGTAAAATTTTATACCACACTTTGAATTTTATTCTAATTCTGACTCGTACAAATATTGCAGCTTGTTACTAAAATTCTACTTTTACCTTTAGGTGGCGTTCAGTTGGAATATGATCGTCAAGGTCATACGCTGTACTGGCTTCAGTCGATATCAGGTGACAGCGAGGATGACGAGAACTGTACGATCTATACTATGCCCTATGGTGGTGGAAACAAAGCTGAATTATTCGGACAAGATACGGGCATCGTCGGGGCTCCATCAGCCATCGCATTTGACTGGCTCGGCCGTAATTTGTACATGGCCAACCGAGCCGCCAGTAATATCGAACTAGTGCGAGTCGACGGCAAAGTGAAGTTCAGGACTATCGTGATGGCCAACGACGGCAGCAAATTCTCTGTAGCTAAACCCAGAGGAATTTGCCTGGACCCGACCGAAGGGTAAATAGCACAATTTTTAAATATATCTGTGTTGATAGTATATCCTACAACTAATTATTGTAAACACTGTAACTTCCATTGATGAGCATTCTTCTCTCGCTTATTGAGTATAATACATAAAATCATTACCATATTAATTGTCATTTAATACTCATTTATTTTTGGTTGCAGAAAAATGTACTGGACCGATGAAGGAGGTTATGGAGTACCCGTAAAAGTCGGCAAAGCCAACATGGACGGTAGCAATCCAGTCATATTAGTAGACAGCTTCGAGAGGCCAGAGGCCATCACAATTGATATAGAAAAAAAAATCGTGTATTTTAGCACGCAGTTCCCGGCTAGCATTATTAGCGTGAATACCGACGGCAACGACAGAAAGACCATACTTACTGAAGCTAATGCTATATCATACCCAAAAGTCATAGCCGTTCTCGACTCTAGGCTCTATGTACTCGATCCACGTCATGAGAAGATTATAAAAGCAGATCTGCCCAACGGCGATAATATCAAGAGTATATTGGATAACGAGAGTGATCTCAAATCATTGACAATATTCCAAAAACGTAAAATGATTCACCATACGTGTGCTACAGCTAATGGTGGCTGCGAGCAGATCTGTATTCCAAGTGAAGGTGGTTCTCGAGTATGCGCCTGCTCGGTGGGTTATCGCAAAGAGAACGAAGTGAACTGCGTGCCGTACAAAACCTTTGCCGTAGTCTCTCAGCTCGATCTTATTCGCGGCTACAGCCTCGAAACCAGCGCTGAAGCGATGGTACCTGTGACTGGCCTCGGACACCATATTTTACACGTGGACGTCCACTTTGCCGACAATTACATCTATTGGGTCGAGTTTAATCGAGGGCAGTGGAATGGTATATTCCGAATTCGACCAAATGGCACAGAATTGCAACACGTCATCCGCGACGGTATTGGTAGTAATGGAATCCGAGGACTGGCTATCGACTGGGTCGCCGGCAATTTATACTTCACTAACGTGTTTCCTCATGAAAATTATGTAGAAATATGTTGGTTAGATGGATCCCACAGGAAAGTGCTCGTGAAAACAACTATGGATGCGCCAAGAGAACTAGCAGTTAATCCACTGAAAAGATTGTTGTATTGGATCGACTACGGTCAATATCCACGTATTGGAAAGGCGTACCTCGACGGATCTAACTGGCAGACGGTCGTAAGCTCAGGAATATCGAATCCCAGAGATTTGACTATAGATATGTTAACTCACGATGTCTACTGGGTTGATTCTAAATTGGACCAAATTCAAAAAATATCCTACAACGGTGGTAACAGGCAACTCATCAGATCTAACCTCCCTAATCCAATGGGCATTGCTATTCATACTGGAAGCGTATATTGGGTAGACAGAAATTTGCAAACTATATACAAAGCTTCAAAATTACCAGGCAATATGTCTATGCCGGAGAAAGTGAGAACCAATCTACCCAAATTAAGAGACATCGTAATATTTGACGTGAATAATCAACCTACAGATGAAAATAACCCATGTCGCAAGCTCGGTAATGGTGGCTGTGAACAGTTATGTTTCAGTTATCCGCCTGAAGCAAACAAAGGATTTACACACAGGTGTGAGTGCGCCACTGGCGAAGTATCGACTACGAACCCAAAAACTTGTGACGTAGTTGATGAATACCTCGTATTCACCACCAGAACAGAAATACGCTCTATTAATTTAGACCCCAAATCTACTGGCGTTCCTTTCAAACCTATAAGTGGCCTGACAAATGTAGTTGGAGTTGAGTTTGATTATGCCGACAATGTATTATTGTTTACACAAATTAGACCATGGCCCAGGATTGCAATAATGTCCACCAACAAACCTCTTGAAAATAGTAGTATAAGAAGTATCATCGATAAGGGCATAAATCCAGAGGGCATATCTTACGATTGGACGCAGAAGAAAATATACTGGACAGATAGTTCGAATAATTCAATTTTCGCAATGAATCTCGATGGCAGTGATGTAGTAATGATCGCACGAGTAGAACGCCCTCGAGCTATCGTTGTAGATCCTTGCAATGGAACTCTTTACTACACAGACTGGGGTAGATTCGGTACCACAGGTAAGATATACAGGACTACAATGGCTGGATCACTTAAAAAAGCAATCATAGATAAGGACCTTTCGCAACCTAGCGGTCTTGCTATAGACTTCGATGAAAATATGTTGTATTGGAGTGACGCTGTCCGAGAAAAAATAGAACGATCAAAACTGGACGGATCAGAAAGAGAGGTTCTCATATCTGCCACTATCTATCCATTCGCTATTACTGTTTTTAGAAACTATATTTACTGGACTGACCTACAGTTACGTGGTGTATATCGCGCGGAAAAACACACGGGAGCTAATATGGTTGAAATGGTTAAGAGGCTAGAGGACTCTCCACGAGATATTCACGTGTATAGCAAGAAACGCCAAATGTGTCAGGCCAATGCCTGCAGCATTAGCAATGGAGGTTGCGCTCAAAGTTGTCATCCCGCACCTAACAACACAGCCGAATGTCGCTGTGACGAAAACACGAAACTGGTCAATGAAGGACGTATGTGCGTGGCTCGCAACATTAGCTGCGATCCTTCCAAATTTTTCTGTGCAAACGGCAAATGTATCAGCCGCATGTGGTCCTGTGATGGAGATGACGATTGCGGAGATAACTCTGACGAGGACCGTAACTACTGCGCATATCACTCGTGTTCTCCAAATGAGTTCCGCTGTAACAACGGCCGCTGCATCTTCAAATCGTGGAAGTGCGATCACGAGAACGATTGTAAAGATGGATCCGACGAGGAAGGTTGTGTGTACCCGCCATGTATGGAAGGTGAATTCACGTGCCATAATTCTCGTTGCATACCAATGTCGCAAGTGTGTAATGGAATCAACGATTGTAAAGATAATATTACATCCGATGAAACCCACGAGCGGTGTCCGCGGAATACCACTTGCCCAGCGAATCACCTCAAGTGCGAGCGCACCAACATCTGCGTGGAGCCGTACTGGCTATGTGACGGTGACAATGACTGCGGCGATAACTCCGACGAAGAGCCACTGCACTGCGCTATGCGCACCTGTCCGCAGAACAGTTTCCGTTGCCCCAACCACCGATGTATTCCCGCCACCTGGTACTGTGATGGCGACGACGACTGCGGTGATGGCGCCGACGAACCGCCAGAGTACTGCCGTTCTGAGGGCCGCACCTGCTTCGGCGACCTATTCACATGCGATAACGGCAACTGTATTCCAAGGATATACATATGCGACGGCGACAACGACTGCCTGGACAGCAGTGATGAGGACGATCGCCACCAATGCAATGAACGCAAATGCGATGCGGAGACAGAGTACACATGCGAGGAGAACAAGCTGTGGGGTCGTGCGCAGTGCATCCCGCGTAAATGGCTGTGTGACGGCGATCCCGACTGCATCGATGGCGCCGATGAGAACGCCACGTTGCATCACTGCGCCGCACCAACACCCTGCTCCGAGGAACAATTCCAGTGCAACAATGGCCGCTGCATCAATCGCGGCTGGATCTGTGACCACGATAACGACTGCGGCGACGGCTCCGATGAAGGCAAGTTCTGCAACATGCAATACAAGACCTGCAGTGATCTCGAGTTCAAGTGTCAGAATTTCAAGTGCATTAGAAGTAAATTCAGATGTGACGGAGAGGATGACTGCGGTGATCACTCGGACGAGGTTGGTTGTGTCAAAGAAAACAAGACATGCCCCGGAGGTCAATTTAAGTGTAATAATGACCAATGCATTGACAGCAGACTCGTGTGCAACAAGGTGGCTGACTGCACTGACGAGTCTGATGAGCCAGCTCACTGTAACATCGACGAGTGTGCCAAGCTGGAGATCAATCAATGTGGACATAAATGTATCGATACGCTAACCGGATACTATTGCGATTGCAATCAAGGCTATAAATTGCTATCTGACGGCAAAGCCTGTGCCGATGTCGACGAATGCATAGAAACGCCAGGAGTATGCTCACAATATTGCTCTAACACTCCCGGATCCTACTATTGTAAATGCAATGAACAATATTATGAACGCGAAGCCGACGAACATACATGCAAACGTAAAGATAATACTTCTGCTTGGGTCATCTTTACTAACAAATATTACGTAAGAAATATGTCCACCGATGCCTCACTCTATAACCTCGTTCATCAGGATTTGATGAATGTAGTCGCGGTGGACTTCGATATAAAGGAACAAAAGATGTATTTTGCCGACGTATCTGCAAAAACTATTTATCGTTCTGATTATTCCGACCCAAATCCTACTAAGGAGGTTGTAATAAGACACGACTCGCATGCTCTGGAAGGTATTGCTGTAGACTGGATTGGTAGAAAACTGTATTGGCTCGACAGACATTCAAAGAATTTGGACGTGGCTGAACTGGACGGCACTAGGAGAAAAACTCTAAAGACCGGTATAGCCGACCCAAGAGCTATTGTCGTTCATCCCGGTACTGGATACTTATACTTTACATCGTGGCATCTGCAAGCTTACATCGGTAAAATGGGAATGGATGGATCCAATTTCACAGTTATATTAAATTGGGAACAAGATATCGCTTGGCCTAACGCCTTAACAATAGATTATTTCACTGACAGAATTTATTGGGCAGACGCTCACTTAGACTACATCGGCTCCGCTGATTTAGAGGGCAGACATAGACACATTGTTTTGTCTGGTACTAAAGTTCCACACGTATTCGCTCTTAGCCTATTCGATGACGAAATTTACTGGACTGATTGGAATCTCAAAGCTATAAGTAAAGCAAATAAACATTCTGGTGAAAACTTGATAGTTCTTAGAAATACTACTCACCGTCCTTACGATATTCATGTTGTTCATCCATTGAGACAATTACCCTATCCTAATCCTTGTGGTAATAATAACGGTGGTTGTTCCCATCTTTGTCTTATAGCCCCACCGCACGAATCCAGCTACTTGAATATCGAGGGTTACGGTGAGGAAGGTACCACTACGTATAAATGCGCATGCCCTAATCAGTTCTATTTAGCAAGAGATATGAAAACGTGTATAGCAAACTGTACTGATGGACAACATAGGTGTAATGGCCGCGACGAGAAATGTATCCCATGGTTCTGGAAATGCGATGGAGAGAAAGACTGTATGGACGGATCCGACGAGCTCGATACCTGTCCTGTGCGGCACTGCCGTGCTGGTTCTTTCCAATGCAAGAACACTAACTGTACGCCAGCTGCGACCATCTGTGACGGCACAGATGACTGTGGAGATGGAAGTGATGAAGCCCAATGCGCACATGAATGTCCATTACTCGAATTTAAGTGTAAATCAAGTGGAAGATGTATCCTGGAAAGTTGGAAGTGTGACGGTGATACAGATTGCAAGGATAACAGCGACGAAGATCCAACTATGTGCCATAATAGGCCTTGTAATCCTGATACCGAATTCTCGTGCAAGAACGGCCGGTGTATACCTAAATTATGGATGTGTGATTTTGATAACGATTGCGGCGACGATTCCGATGAACCTGCTTATATGTGTCGTCAAAGAAATTGTACTACAGGTTGGAGAAGATGTCCCGGCCAGTCCAATTATAGATGTATTCCAAAGTGGTTATTCTGCGATGGTAAGGACGATTGCAGAGATGGGTCAGATGAACTTCCAGAAAATTGTCCGAGTTGCAACTCTGAAACCGACTTTACGTGTGATAATAAACGTTGTATACCAAAACAGTGGTTATGCGATTTCACTGACGACTGTGGAGATGGTAGCGATGAAGCAGAAACCGCTTGCCAACATAAATATAGAGAATGTTCCGAATCAGAGTTCAAGTGTGGCAACGGAAAGTGCATATCATCGAGGTGGAGATGCGACCATGAAGATGATTGCGGAGACAACTCAGACGAAATGGATTGTGGTGGATTCAAGTGTAAGAACGGAACGTTCCAGTGCAAGTCTGGACACTGTATCGCTGCGTATTTCAGATGCGATGGCGACAGAGACTGTAGAGATTTGTCCGATGAGATTGGCTGTCCACCAAGATTTCCGGGCGGAAAATACTGTCCTGAAAGCCGGTAAGTTACCTATTTTTTATGAACTTATTAAATGGTCGACTCTTCGAGTATGTGCTTACTGCTTCCAGTATTGTACCTACATCTGTCTTTATATTTTGAATTGCATAATAATAATGAATTCACTTGTGTTTGAGATGTGAATTTAATTCTTCAATTATAATATTATTATACCTACAACACGTAATCAGTGTTTTGTGGGTTGTGATTGTGACCTTTTTAATGAGATTGTACCTTAAGAATAGTAAATAACTATGTTGTATTAAATATTACTGAGTGATGATACTTCCATATCATAATCATCACTCAAGATATAGTTCCTCGGCTACAGTATAACGCTGAGCGGGAACTATTTTAGCAAACATTATCTAATGCCTTTACCTCTTATATATGTTATGTTACTCTGTATGAACCTTCTTTGTAAGTGTAACAATATTTGCTGAATAGGTTATTATTAACAAATTATTTTATCCTTTATATCCCTTTTTTAATGTAAATTTTAAATATGTTGTTGCTACATTTTTGCGAATATAAAATGAAGTATTCCATTATTGTTGTTAGGTTCCAATGCGCGAACAATCTGTGTGTGTCGCAATCAGACCTGTGTGACGGCACGGATGACTGCGGCGACGGGTCCGACGAGGCAGCCTCTATCTGCACCAACTTTAATTGTGACACGCTGCGGCGTTTCCATTGCGACAATCACAGATGCGTACCCAGGTACATTAATATGACTAAAAATGAAAAAGTTTTATGAACATGAAGTTAGACAATGACAAAAGAAGAGCAAGTTAAGTATGACGGATGGAAGGGATTTATGGAAGAGAAAATATGCCACCATAATATTTATCATAATGTTGTTGGCCTATTATTATTCAGTAGAATATTGTAAAGCTGACATTACGTTGATGTAAAAAAGGATAATAATATACAGAGAGATTACTTATATTCTATCAACGTTATTTAAACGTAAATCATATGATACCCAATATCAAAATTAAATACATTTTGTAACGAGGCGTCCTCGTGCGACAGGTACCAGGTGTGCGACGGCGTAGACAACTGCGGTGATGGCTCGGACGAGAACAACATGACGCTATGCGCAGCGCGCGCGCGGCCCTGCGATCCCGCGTCGCAGCTCGCGTGCGCCAACCGGCGCTGCGTGGCGCGCGCGCAGCTCTGCGACTACGCCGACGACTGTGGCGACGCCTCCGACGAGCTCGGCTGTCACCGCGACCGCACCTGCGACCTCGACGACAAAGGTCTGCGGCTTTCCCCACTCCACCCGCCGCGCGAGTGGCCCGATCTCCATCCTGACCTTGCTCACTCACCTTTTGTCGACAGGTGGCTGCGAGCACTTCTGCACGAACCTGACACAGCCGGGCGGCGGCTACATCTGCTCGTGCTTCCAGGGATGGATCATCTCGCCGGCTGACAAAAAGCGTTGCGTCGACGTTGACGAGTGCGCGACCGGCACGCACCACTGCTCACACATCTGTACCAACATCAACGGCAGCTACAGCTGTAGCTGCCGCGAGGGATTCAGGTGCGTGTCCGATTATAAGTGTCGCAATACTCTCTCCCAAAGTGTTATCCTTTGTTTAAGTTTGATTCGATCATCGCTTATTTCAGGTTGGCGGACAACTTGTCAGGCGTTTGCAAAGCGACCGAGAGCGAGGTAGTACTGATGTTCGCGAACGGACCTGAAATACGTGCTTTCATTCAAGATAAGAACGAGGAGTTCGACGTGATTACTTCGGAGAAGAGAATCGAGGCTATCGACTATGACCCCAAGAACGAGATGGTCTTCTGGGCTGACAGCTACGACAAAACTATCAAGCGCTCGTACATGGTCAACGCGATGGGAGGCCAGGTGAAGACCGGGTTCGCCCAGGACCTCAACATGAAAGGAAACGCGAAGCCCACTGCGCTCGCGGTCGACTACGTCGGAGACAATCTATACTGGACCGAGACCGACAGGACGGGCTCGAAGCCGAGAGGACGAGTCATGGTGGCGAGGACCGACGGCAGATACCGGCGAGCCCTCGTCTCAGCGGGCATCGAAACTCCGACGTCTCTGGTCCTCGATCCTCAAATGGGTAGAATGTTCTGGGCGGACGCAGGCTCGGCACCGAAGATAGAAATATCGTGGATGGACGGTTCGAAGAGGAGACCCGTCGTCACGGAGAACATCAGGCACCCGACCGGCTTAACTATCGATCAGGCAATGGACCATTCTATCTACTGGGCCGACACGAAGCTGAACACTATAGAGACGATGAGACACGACGGCTCTAACCGGAAAGTGATACTGCGGGGTGAGACGCTGAAGCATCCGATCTCACTGGACGTGTTCGAGTCGTCGTTATATTGGGTGACGCGCGACACCGGCGAGCTCATCCGCCAGGACAAGTTTGGCCGCGGGGTGCCGTTCGTCATTTCTAAAGATCTAGTCAACCCATCCTCTGTGAAAGGTAAGTAAACTTTTAAAATTAATACTAATATTACTTGTATTATGTTTCATTATATTATGAATACTTCTTCATGCAACTTTTATAGTAATAAACAGCACTATAGACACTTCCATCAGTGAGGAGTAACGTGTTGCGTTATTGTACTCAGTAATTTTATTGTCATACTCGGAACGTAGCCATGCAACGGCACAGATACTCGGCAGATATACAAGGTCCTATGAAAACTATTCTTGTACCCTCCGGGAGGATATAGATTAGATGTGAAGTGGTTGGATAGCGCACAGCACTAACACGGCATGGTCGCGCGCAGTGTACCACCCGCGGCGGTACGAGCGGGCGGGCGGCGCGGGCGGCATGTGCACGCGCGCGCCGTGCTCGCACCTGTGCCTGGCGGTGCCGGGCGGGCGGCGCTGCGCGTGCCCCGACCTGCTGCCGCCGCCCAAGCGCGCCGCGCTCGACCGCGCCTGCGACGCTGGTACGCACACACAATACGTAACACCATAAACTTACCACCATCTCTTCACACACCATCATCTTTTACTTTCCCCTGATCTTAATTTCTGGTAAGACCGCGAAATTATTCTAGTAAATAACGTGATTTTACTTTTGTAAGTAATCAAGCAATCATTTCTTAATTTTAATGATATCAAAAAAATTAAGTAAAATTAATTTCGTGGCATTACTTATTAATCGGTGCTGCCCTTATATAATTGTGTCCCACAAAAAAAACAAACTTCATTTTTGACAATATCAATTTTTGTAATTTCAAAAGTAATTTCTAAACCAACTTTGATAACATATATACGGAACTAATCTGTAAGTATCCTTTTAGATAAAAGAAGAATTATCGAAATCGATTTAGAATTGATGGAGTTATTAAGTACGAGTAACAAACATAAAAAAAATACAAACAAAATCGACACCTCCTTCCTCCTTCTTTTTGAAGTATGTTGAAAATTAATTTATGCTACTATCTGAAAATATAAAAATATGTCGTACATTTAGCTTTTATCCAAAATATGGAAATCGAAGACCGACTTGGATGCAGTCAATCATAATGTTGCCAAGTCAAGCTAACTTACCTTTGCCATATTGGCATTTTTAGCAGCTCAATGAATAAGCCAATGATAAATAACGGACAAGAAATTTTCAAAATTAAGTTAATAAAAAAAAATCAGTTCGGAGTAAATTCGTACGTATTCACTTACCATACAAACAATTTTTTTTTTATTCCTGAATTCACGTGCAGTGCCTCTAATCAATTTTATTACTATTAGTGTCTTAGTTTGTAATCTTAGACTTTTTCTATTTACATTAGTGTAGCCCTGATTTTTCTATAAATAAAATAAATATATAGAGGAATTGAGCCTTACCTTTTTGTTCTTGTTTTTTTTTTTTTGTAAATGTACGTATGTTGAACATTGTACGTTTGTGCGGACACAGCGGTGGAGTCGCCGCGAGCGCTGCCGCGCGTGTGTCCGTGCGAGAACCAGGGCCGCTGCGAGGAGGACGAGCAGGGCGCGCTGGTGTGCGTGTGCCCGGCGCCGCTGCAGCCGCCGCGGTGCGCGGGCGACGCGGCCGGCGCGGGCGCGGCGCGCGGCGCCGCCGCCGCCGTGCTCGTGCCCATCGTGCTCGTGCTCGTGCTCGTACTTGGCGCCGCCGCCGCCTGGTTCTTTATTAGGAAGAGGCCGTTGTAAGTTCGCTCATTTGTATCTTATCTTACTAATTCAAAATCTTCATTTTTTATTTATTAATGGAAATGGTATAAACTTTCCCGAGTGTGTATTTCTACAAATTTTTGACTCGTTTAAGAGAATATACACAATTTAAACGAGTGGTTGACAGAGTGTAATCAAATTCATCTTAGCTATATTTTATTGTATACAAGCTTTTCCCGTTGCTCTGTACTTTCAGTACTGTGGATTTCAGTAGTAGGAAAACCAATAAAGTAGGCTACTTCTAGATGGCACATTAAAATAAAATACATATAGGTTTTAAGTTCAACTTTCAGGAACACAACTATGAAAACCGTGTTCCATTTGATCCAGTGGTTTTTGCGTAGTGCCAGGGCAAACATATAGACAGACAAAATTAAAAAAAAAATGGTTATTTTGGCTTCTATTTCTTTTCTTATTTTTTTATTTTTCATGTACAGTCATCCTTTAATTACAATTTTATTACATTACTAAAACGGCTATTGTGTAAAAACATGCACAAGTATTTTCTGGTTGTTTTAACTATCTGAAATGTTGGAAAGATATTTTATTTTAGAACATTAAGTACCTAACCTAATCGAATTCTGTTTCTACTTTTGCAGCGGTAAAGGCGGCGGTCTCGGTAGTCTAGCATCGTCACAGAGCGTGTCGTTCCGTCAGGGCTCCAACGTGGAGTTCGGTGGCGTGGCCGAGCCGGCTTACACACTCGAGGACACCGGCCGCAAGGGACGCGATTTCAGTAACCCCATGTACGAGGCCGTCACGCGAGCCCAGGCCGCCGGCGAGCCAGACCCGCCCCTTCGTGAGTTTTTACATTATTTACAGTATATAATAGATTAATTATAATAAAATCACAGCATAGGTACCTAAGCTATGGGTCTAAAGTCTCAACTAACGACAACGGTCGTCTCCACAGCGGGGATCTACGAGGTACCAGATGAAATAAAGGAGAAGGTGGCATCCGCGGTGATCTCCCCGTCGTCGACGGAGACGCGGGGCGGCAATCTGTATAATTTAATCATTTGGTCAATTTTCTTGACAGTGATTGTGGCAGGCGTAGACCTAATTTTCGTAAATGTATTAAAAATGAACTGAAATCTATAGACTGGATAGCACTGTTTTCGGATATATTTCTAAAAATACCCGTAGCGGCGGCGCGGGGCGGCCGCGCGCGCTGGACCCGGCGGCCGACACGGGCGCCGACACGGCGCAGCTGGTGCGCGAGGACCGCGACTGCTAGCCGCCGGCGCGTGCGCGCGCCCGCCGCGCGCCGCCCGCGCCCTCCGCGCCCCTCGCGCCCCTCGCGCCCCTCGCGCCCCTCGCGCCCCTCGCGCCCCTCGCGCTGCGCCCCTCTCGCCTCCCCAAGTACCTCCCGCTGCCCTCGATACGGGTCATCGACTAGCGTCGCCGAGCCTCGCCGTCGTATCTCTTCCTCTGAGACTTCCTTTCCAGCTGTCGCTTCTTGTTTCCCGACTCGGCAGCGCCGAGCCTTTCCGTCCGGGCCGGCCGGCGGGCCCCGCGCGGAGCTCGCTCTAGTTATAGTCGTAGTGCGTAAGTATGACTCAGGAATTGCGCCCGTCGACGGCGACGGGGCCGCCTCTCGTTTTCGATCGATTTGACAATAAGCAATAATATGTGTACTGTCTGTCTAGGGAGTAATTTATTTATTTCGGTTTAAGACTATGTAATATATAGCTACGTTGTGTTTTATAATTGTCTATTAAACTTTTAGATTTTGTGGAATCGATTGACGATTTGCCATAACGTGTGAGATAATGTTTTCTGTTGTTTAATTTTAAATAATTAGTAAACTCATCGGTTTTGTTAAATATGAACCTCTACGAATTGTAAATATGTGCGTTCAGACTTGTGATGTACATTTTAATAGGCGAAATTAAATAGTATCTTTATATTGTTATACGAATTAATTAATATATTAAAATAACTATGTACCATAAAATATGATAGGCGAAGATGACTTCTGTGAATATATCATTACATCACATTATATATTGTATTGTATAAATATAAAACAAACTTGAAAGAGAATTGATAATGTAAAAAATATAAATTTGTCAATATTATATAGATAAGGAGATGAAATATTTTTATATTGGGATTATTATAAATATTAGACAGTTGTCTGACATAGTTGAAAAACATTCTGTAAAAATACACTAAAATGAAAATATATGTTTGTTTCATTTACACGAAGTTTATCAACTTAATTGTGTTATTTATTTTCCTTGAACTCATTATTATATATCCCACTACAACCGGTTCACACAATACCATGTTATCGCGCCGTGATCAGCCAATTTAATTTGTCTAATTTAAGACATGACTGATCCTAGCACCAATCTATAATAACTTTTGTGCCTGCGTGAATACCTATGTGTGCATGTAATTGACTGAACACATACAATCCTAGTCTTCAGAGGGGAAAGGGATTGTTAGCAATGGAGTTTGACAGCCCCATTGCTAGCAATATGGGCATATTGCTGTCTATATATATATATATATATATATATATATATATATATATATATATATATATATATATATATATATATATATATATATATATATATATATATATATATATATATATATATATATATATGGGCATATAAGGTCGACCTCCACGTGGTTCCCCCTGAAAACCATCGTGAACAATTCTTGTTGAATTCTTCACGATGGGCTAACTGACCTGATTATATTGACCTGACATCCTTCACCTGGTGCCATGCTGGTGTATGTCGGTGGCGCGGGTGGGGATGCTATCCTATTGTCACCCATTAAAAAAAATTCTAGTCTCCAGGAAATACAACTACATATCTACAACAGTAGCATGATGGGGGAAAAGGTTTGTTAGTCCTTATCCGGCTTTTTTTAATGGATGATAATGGAATGGTAACCCCGCCTGCGCTATCGGTATACACCGACGGAGCACTAGTGAGGGATGATAAGTGAAGATGAAGTAGGTCAGTCAGCCCATCGTGATAAATTCACCAATGAATCAATCACAATGGTTTCCAGGGGGAACCGCGAGGTCGACCTGATAAGGTATATTGCTGGTAATAGGGTTGCTAATCCCCGTTAATAACACTCCCAATTCCCCGCAACGTATTAAGTAAGGTCGGGCCCCCCTGGAAACCACCGTGATTAATCTCGATGAATTCGTCACAATGGACAACTGTCCTGCTTTCATCCTTAACTGTCATTATTCACTGCTGCCTCACCAGCGAATACCGATAGCACAGGATTACTGTTTCATTGTAAATCCCAATATTAATCTATTCGTTATTCTTTGTCTAATAAGCAATGGTTACTGTACCACGAAATTTTTTTTTATTATAGCACGATATATTCGCCTACGTATTTCTAGGTTTGCCCAATGGTTGACTGGTAGAGAACACCGTCCGCCAAATGTACATAGAATTTTACTGTGCCTTAAAGTTTAAATAAATAAATCAATATATGACCACACCATTCTGAGCGAACAGAGATACGCATATGTTCCATGAAGGCGATCAACTGAAGAGAGAATGATTTACTTTTATCGGTTGACCGCACTATGCTGGCTCACTAAGTACTTTTTCAAGCTATGTTTGAAGGATTCATGATTCATTAATCCTAAGATTAAAAAAATACTTCTCAGGAAAGACTATTCCACACTAATGGTACCGTTCACGTAAGAGTGGGCAAACTTATTTGTACACGAACGCAGAGGACTACCTTGGATATAGTCGCTGGTCCATCCTCGTGATGGCGAAATTGGAAAGAGGAAGACGAAATAAGGAAATGATTTTAATCTGAGATTCATAATAAAGCCATTTGTATTTCTATTTCAGCTACACTACTATGAACCTTAATGAGACGTTAGTCATTAACACCCTTTTAAAAAGGTTTATTAGAGCAACTGAGTACAATATTTTTAAGGCATATGGATTGCAAAACGAAAAATAAATAAGAATCCTCTATATTATTAATTAGTCAGCAAAAGGTGTCGTGATAAACATTGCCTGAAATACTAATAATTTCATTCAAATCCGTTCATCTGTTTAGGAACGATTGAGTAACAAACATACAAATATTCAAACGACAACAAATTTTCACTTGTATAATTATCAGTAGCATTAAAGCATTTTAGGAATCATTTGATATTATTTAGCTTTTTTAGTTTCACTGTCTTGGCAACACCGATCTGACGTTTTGTTTCATAGTAACAAGCCTTTGTCACCCTTAAAATTATATGAAACTATGTTACCGTCCCCAACCAACATTATGAGACTAGATTTTAACATGGCGGATTATCACCATCTCGAATAGGCGCTATAATAGTCAGAGTCACAGTATTGTTTTAAAAATAATGTTTCACTTATCTATATATTTAAAAAAATGAAATAACTAATGTGTATTATGATTTATGAAGCAAAAATCCCTTGACTATTAAGTGTTCTTAGTTACTACTTATGACACCTACGGGTAAGAATGGGGTGGCCCATACTATGCTGAGACCACAAGGCATTTTACTCATAATTATATGTAATTATAATAATTTTGTACAAATAGGGCTATTTTATATGTAACGTATGTACATATTCTTTTAATATCGATACATGATTTTATATTTAACATTTAACAGTTAATTTATATTTAACGTTATGAAATAGACATTTTTTAGACTACCTAAAATAAAGGATCATATAAAAAACAATGGTATAATTTACGAGCAAATTACAAAGATCGTGGATTTGACAATAGATATAATATTCTGTAATAACTCTGGTATATAGGCATATTATTGCCGAATTGAAAAATTTGATTGATTCAAATTGCAGCGAGACTTTCGCTCGTAAATGGAACCTCCCGCTTGGGGAAAGACCTCCACCTTTCAGAAGTTCACAGCCAAATAATGTTGTTTTAATAGCGTTGTGTTCCTGCGGGGAGTAAGATTTCCAGTTTCATCTTGGGGAGGGATGTGCCAATACTAGAGGGACCCGCGTGTTTTTTATTACTGTCTTTGTGCTGGGCGAGGTGCCAATCGACACGGCGTTCAAAGAGACCTGGTGAAACAGTCGCTCGCTGGCCGCCCGCAGGTTGTTGGGTTCCCGAGCCCAGAGAGTACCTAATCTCCACCCTGGGAAGCTAAACCGCCGCCTGTACATAATCCCTAGTGTAGTAGTCGTGCTGGAGATGGACCCGGCTGCTGCATCAGTGGGGACCGGGGGCCCTTCCGGCCGTAACACTCGTATTTACGCGTGTCTTTACAGGTCTCACAGCGGTGATTTGGACACTTTCGTTCTTTTTTAGCACCTGCAAAGGACGATTGATAAAGTTCTCGAGCAGTACCCTTCTACGGAGTTAATGATACTTGGAGACTTTAATGCTCACCACTCCGAGTAGCTTGGTTTTCGGTCCACTGACTGTGCGGAAAAAGCTGCTCATAAATTTGCTCTGACCTATGGATTCTCTCAGTTGGTCCATTCTCCAATGAGAATACCAGATATAGAGAACCATACAAGCTCCTTGTTGGATAACACAACCGGATGGATATACCGTCAGAGTGGATGTGCCAATTGGCATATCCGACCATTGTCTTATCCGGATTGATGTCTCCAACACTCGACCTGATCTACCCCGTCTTATTGGACGACGTCGCGTGCGGCACTATAAGTCAGAAAACTGGGATGGATTGCGACAATTTTATGCATCGTACCCGTGGAAGCGACTCTGTTTTGCATCACATGATCCTAATGTCTGCGCAATTGCCGTTAGCGAGGCAATCATTGAAGGTATGGAGTTATTTATCCTCAAACCACTAGTGACAGATTTGCTAAGTAAGCTGCACATAGGCTTTGGACTACGGCTCACAATAATTCGGAACCTTGAATCACTGATGCAGAACAGAAATTAAACGCTGTTTCGAAGTACAGTAAGAGAGTAATTGCCAGAGCCAAATTTAAATATGTGGGCAAAATTGGCAGGCGACTATCTAGCCTTTCTTCTGGTAAACGTGCTTTCTGGTCGCTTGCTAAAGCTGCCCAAGGAAACTTGTGTTAGTCATCTTTTCCACCACTTCGGAAACCGAAAGGTAACTTGGCCTACTGTGCTAAAGAAAAATCCAACTTATTTGATATTCTCTTTTTCTCTAACTCGACTATGGACGAAGGTAATTCTGTATCACCTACCATCTTGTGTTGCGGAAACTCTATACCGAAAATTACCATAACACAATATAAAATCTGGCGGGAGTTATTCTTCTTAGATGTTCATAAGTGGAGTGGGCCAGACGATATACCGGCAATGGTCCTAAAGCAATGCGCTCCGGAACTATGTCCTGTATTAAGGCATCTCTTTACGATCTCGTACTCCTCAGGGTAATTTTCTTCGATATGGAAAATCACCCTTGTACATCCTGTACCTAAAAAAGGCGATAAGTCGGACCCTTGAAATTACAGGCCGATTGCAATCGCTTCCCATCTCTCTAAGGTGATGAAGCCTATAGTTAACGCACAGCTGTTAAAATACCTAGAGGATCACGATATATTGAGTGACCACAAATATCGCTATCGCCATAGTCGCTCAACTGGTGACCTCTTGGTATATCTTACGTATCGATGGGCATTACCCATTGAGAGTTATAGTGAGGCGCTCGCTGTCGATCTTGATATTGCAAAGGCATTTGACCGGGTCTGGCATCAGGGTCTTCTGTTGAAATTGCCCTACTATGGATTTCCAGACAGCCTGTGTAAATAGATCGCCAGTTATTTGTCCGGCACATGCATAAAAACCGTTGTAGATGGTTGCTGCTCCGATAGCATGGATATTAACGCTGCCGTCCCTTAAGACTCTGTATTATCCCCAACGCTGGTTCTGCTGCATATTAATGATATGTTAACCTTTGGTGACATTCATTGTTATGCGGATGACAGTACTAGGGATGCCCATTAAACGGGTCGTACCAAAATCCCTCGTCCTGGAGAACAATCTTGAACAGTTTGTGTCTGAAAAGAAGAGAACGTTAACTGGAGTCCCTGATTTAGGACGACAAAACTTAGTCCAATTTAACCCCGCTACGACACAAGCTTGCGCGTTCATCGCTAAAAAAACCATTTGCTGTGGCTCCATAGTTCCAGGATACGTCTTTTAACATCTCTAAAAGCATTGGGATCCTTGGTGTCGATATCTCTAGCGACGTACAGTTCCGTGACCATCTCCAAAATAACTTTAAGATGGCATCTAAAAAAATCGGTGTGATTAATAGAGCAAAGCATTACTTCACGCTGGTTCAGCGAATAATGCTCTACAAATGGCAAATCCAGCCCTACATGGAGTATTGCTGTTACTTATGGGCAGGAGCACCGAGATACCAGCTTGAATCCTTCAACTCAGTGCAACGAGCAGCTATAAGAATTGTCGAAGATCCCAGGCTTGCAATCGATATTGGACCCTTAAGTCTTAGGAGAGATTTTGCCTCGCTCAGCGTGTTCTACCACTTGTACAACAGATTGTACCCAAAGGATTTGTTCAATATGATACCCACGGCTACTTTCTATTTAGAGAGGGAGAGACAGGGAGTTCAGCTTTATACCCAACAGCTTAAATGGTCGCATACAACGCGGTTTCAGAGATGTTTTCTCCCACGAATACTCAGATTATGGAATGAGCTTCGTGCCGAGGTTTTTCCAAGAGACTACAGGATGCAGTTCTTCAAAAGGGGGGTAAAAAGGTTTCTTCAGGATCGGCAACGCGCATGTAATACCTCTGGTATTGTTGGCGTTAATAGGTTACAGTGACCGTTTACCATCAGGTGGACCGTATTCTTGTTTGCTATCTCAGTGGTATAAAAGAGGCTACTTTTTTCATAAGTCTGGATAAAATAATTACTTATTGGAGGAAAATTGTTATTTGTTCGGTAATATAAATTTATTACTAATAGTTTCTTTTTATTTATTGACCACCTGCGAAGCGTGCTATGTCGCGGAAGTCCATCGATACACTAATTCATTTATCAAATTTATATACTACGTGTTTAATCAATATAAAAAAAGAACAGTATCTCTATATTATTTTTTACATTACATGATTTTTAGCCATGAGAAAGGTTTCAAAATTTTGTTAAATATATTTTGATGACAACGTTATGTACTAAATTTTCTAAAGACAAATTTTTTAGAATTGGATAATGTTTATACTGAGGTTTATACCTTAGATTATAGTTTATACCTTCGAATAGGAATGAAATTATAACCAACTGTCAAAGTCCAATCGTGTTTGTGTGTACAGGAACGCGGCTATGTGGGCCTAATGCCAAAATAAATTTTGAAACATTTTCAAATCCAAGACGAAGCACCAACTTTACGTAATCATAATCAGAGTATTTTTCAAAATTTGTTGTGACTATGAACTAGTGTAACGAAAACAATGATTAAGTAATATTATTAATTGTGACCGTGGTACTGATAAAGTCCAGTATTAATTTATAACAATATCGGACCTATTAACTACAGTTGTAATCAGATAACCTTTCAGGAGGTTACAAATATACCATTCGACAATTTAATAATTAATCGTATTACGGCATTCGAAGAAACAAGTGGGTTCGGTATTTGTTTACAAATTTGTGAGTTAAATATCGATCGACTTTAGTATTTCTAGACTGGCTGTGTTCAGGATTTCCAGTTGTATTTTAAAGTAATTTTACTGTACTATTTCGTTTTATAAAAGGGACTGTATAATATTTTTACAATTTATTGTTGTGCCCGACTAGTTTGTGCAACGAATTGGAAATTGTGACAATTATAAAGTACTGTCATTGATTCCACAAAATGTCACAGATGAGATTATTAAGTTGCGCCCGGCTGTTGTCCCGTGGCGCGGCACAATCGGAAATCGCGGATTTCGTACCATTATTTTCGCGGAAGAGCCCCAGTAACACACGCACAATGGCTTCGAAATCGTTAACAATAGAGAATATTAATCCTAATATATTAAAATTGGAGTATGCTGTACGCGGCCCACTGGTTATACGCGCTGCGGAAATTGAAAAGGAGCTGCAAAAGGTATGATGTGTTTATTTTTGTTTTTAATAAATAATTACTACTTACATGGTTTAATTTAGTTAGTGTGTAGCCATATAATTAATTACCACTCTTTATAAAAATATACAATGTGAAAATTGCTAAGAAAGTACATGTATAATTTATGTATCAAGGCCAAGCATTCACTACACTAGTTCCATTTTAATTTAACCTGCAAAATATTTAGCTTTTATTTACTCAAATAAAAAAAAATAGCTATTAAAGTACTTAGATGTTATTTTAAAACTATGTTGTACACTTTAACCACTTTTTCATAAAATCTAAAACTTCCTATAAATTTAATTTACCATAAACAAAAAAAGACTAGCTAAACATACACAATACACCCTCCAGTAGCTAAAATAGATTTAAAAGGCATTTGACTTTTTTTTTTTAATAAGAGGGTTATGGCATTAATGTTAATATTAATTGACCACTTACCTATAAAGAATTTTCACTTCAATATATTTTCTGATAGGTATTTTGGAAAGGCGGACTTCTTTTAGTCAGAAAAACCTGTGACATAGCAACCTTTCCATGATCATTTGTGTTCTGATAGGTAACATTGTTATTTGAACTCATTGAATGAATGAAAACATATTGCACAAGCATAGAATAAATTGTACAAAAAAAAAAAAATGAATGTACCCACTAGAAATACTAGGATTTATTTTTCTTTTATTATAATAGTTTTATTTTATGTGTTATTCATAAAAGATTCAGAGTATATTTTATGACCACTATTTATGTAACATCCTAATATGGCTTATTCGCTAATGACTGTGTCAATGAGTAATTAACACATATACTATTTTTATTTATTTGTCACAGTTATTACCATGCATGCATTGTCATGGTGAAGCTAATTGTTTCTGTAATTCACAATATGCTGTAGTTACATAGCATTTTTATTCTTCCCTTTCCATTGTTTTATTTTTAATACCTGCTTCAGGTTATACCACATCTAGTTTCTAAAGCAAATTTTGTAAAAGGCAGTTTTAAAATATGTGTGAAGAAAATTTTAAATTCTTGTTAGTATATCATTTGTGGATTATTGTAATATTTTGGCTAAATTGAAATATTTATAATGATCTCATTAAGGTTCTTATGGAACGACAAAAATGGAATTCAGACATGACAATGTCTGCCGATTTTCTAAGGTATATTAAAAATAATGTTAAGTGCTTAATATGCATAGCATATATATATATATATATATATATATATATATATATATATATATATATATATATATATATATATATATATATATATATATATATATATATATATATATATATATATATATATATATATATATATATATATATATATATAGTATACAAATTTTTATATCTATTAGAATAAAATAGAAATAATATGTATTCAAATATACTTGTTTACAAGCCTTTTTAAATCGAACAATTTTTTTTTATTCTATTGCTCGGTTCAAAATGTTGTTATCTCACTAGAGAAGAACTCATAAGAAACTCAACAATTACTATTTTCAAATAAATGATTTTATTATATTAAAAAAATCATATTTTTTTTTATAATGATTATTATAAAAATATTTATTAATGAATCCCCCAATAGATATGTAATCTAACAGTGTATAAAAAAACTAATTGACTAATAAATAGTACATTATAATGAATGATCTTTAAAATGATATGCCACACTGATTACACTCCAAATTGTCTGGAACTGGATCTCATAGAGGTCACCCTTCACATGCTATGATAAGATAGTAATTATATCCAAAAATAGATATTTAATGCTCTCCAACTCAGCATTATCTTTCTTGTTACATAAATGTATGGTTTTAAAACTACACCAATTGCTATCTTCAAACATTTACATTAAATACAGAAATAAATAAATGAAAACTCTTTATGGTTCCCATCAAAGTATGATATAGTCTACAAATGTATTAAATAAATATAAAATAATATATTTATATAAAATTCCCAAAGAGGGTTGACGTCCTGCAGGTGGCCGGTCGTAAAACTAAAAACCAAATCTTTTTGTAATATGGATAAAATCATATTACGCCGACCACAAATGATTGGGATAAGGGTAGGAAAATGATGATATTTATATGAAATAAATGAAATAATTTATTTTAATTGATATCAAATTAAATAAAATATTATTAAAGTTTTTTTTTTTTTTTTTGATATTAATGTAATAATTTACTATACTCTCATTCTAAATATCTAATAAGTAATCTCTTACTGATGGGTGGAGCTGAAAAATAAATTTTAAGCAATAATTCTATGTGATGGATGTGCCAGATATTGTAAGTTTATTCCATCAGAATGTATTGTAGAATTTTATTTATTTAAAATAATATTTAACAGTCCATTTATGTGGTTTAAGATGTTAATGAGGTGTGTTTTTCCATTTTAGTATACTTTGTTGTTATGACACCCGAGTACATCTTCTTAACATCTTTATTATTATGGTTATCCCTCCATACATGACATCATTCTTGAGGACTGTCCTCAAGAATGTTATTACATAGAGGTTCTATTGCATTACAGAATGGAAGGTTCGGATTTCCATCTGTATTTGCTTCATTTTCAGTCGGTAAAGCTGTAAAGGACATAGGCGGCCAATAGCCAATTTTGTTTAAAAAAATCTGTTATGTCTATAGTACTCGTACTGTGCATTTCTATAGGCAACAGTTACCATATTCTGACATGTAGTCTGTTAGCTTGTTTACTATTTAAATTGTAATATAAAAAAGAAAATTAGGAATTAATACATATAACTCAAAACCATAATTTTGATATTATTAATTGTCATAATAAGTATGAAAGATAAAAAATATTGCTTGTTTAGCTTGAAATGCAACTCGGTAAATTCCATTATGTAAGTCTGCAAAGGTTGAGCTATTATGTAATAGTCTGAAAATACATTACCTTGCATGATAGATGGTGTTTGTGTGAAAGTGGCGATAACAATGATAAGGAACATGTAATTAAACCTTTGTTAACTACTTCAATTATAAATATTGTAATGCTGGCGCATACTCTGTAGTAATCTGCGAATGGCTAAACACTCAGATGAATTATTCCTTAAATGATGTTTTTTTTTATACAACTTAGATTGGTAAACAAGTTGATGGCCCACCTGATGGAAAGTGGTAACCGTCGCCTTTAGACATGAGCAGTACCATGGACATAACATAATAAACTGTTTCGCCCATGATACCCCCCATGTGTTGCCCCTCCTAAGGACTCAGATGTTATTCCTCTGTACCCTGTAAATTCACGCCATATCCCACCCTTCAAACCGAAACACAGCCATGAAAACACAACTGCTTTACGGTTGAAACACGAATGGGACAGAGGTACCCAAGCAAACGACTTTTGTACAAAGTCTCCCTCTGGTAAATAAATATTAAAAATATATAATATAAATATTATTTATATTCAGCTGGTATCATCGAACGTGCCTAATCAGATCTAATCATTTCATCATGCTGATAAGTTGACGTGATATTTACAAACAATAGAGAATTTAGGTAATTATGAAATACCTACTGAATTTTAATATACAAAATAAACATTTTAATAGAAAAAAAAAATTGTATTAGACACCAACAATAGTATCAATTCATCATCATATCGGCCTTCAACTGTCCATTGTCGACCTCCACATGGTTCCCCCTGGAAACCATCGTGGCTAATTCTAGTTGAATTCATCAGGATGGGCTAACTGACGTGCTTTCATCCTCATTAGTCATCTATCACTGGCGCCCCGCCATTTTATACCGACAGCGCAGACGAGGTTACCATACCATTATTACCCATTAAAAAAACCCATGACATGACATGGTGTAACAGGTTCCCTGGGCTGTGGCAATCGTTTACTATAAAACGAACTGTTTGCTAATTTGTGCCAGCTTTCTGGTACAAAGATATATTCTGCTGTTTACACGCTAATAATATACATACCCCCCAAGACAACGAGGAGGACAAATCAAAAGATGGGAGAACGATTTACCTAAAGGATGGAGAAACTCAGCTAGGGATAGGGGAAAGTGGAAACAGTTGGGGGAGGCCTATGTCGACAGACAACCTGACTAACATAATGGTTGCTAGAAAGCTACCTTAGTAATAAGTAGTATATAAGTTAAAGTAAAAATGTCAGAGAATAAAGGCTTTATTATTATTATTATTTATTTTTGTTTTTCTTTCTCTTCTTCACATGGACGAAGGTTTACTCACCGACACGGGCCTTAACCAAGTGTAGGAGAGGTTTCAGAGTAGGAAGATGTAATAGTAGACGAGGTGAGGAATTTTCTAGTAATATGGCAGGTATTTAAGATAGTGGCCTTTTGTAGTAGGTATGTTTGATTAGTGTGGATATTTAGTGTTTGTAGGCTATTACTTAGAGTCTTTGGGATAATGCCGGTGGAAGATAGAACAATGGGTACAATATGTACTGTATGGGCTTGCCATTGTGTTTTCACTGCTATTGCAAGATCCTGGTACTTCGCAAGTTTATCTGAGATTGTAGTTTGGAGATTATGTGTGTTAGGGATAGCGATGTCTATGAGGTATATTGTGTTACTGTTTTTGTCATGAAGTGTGATATCCGGTCTATTGTAGTGTACCGTTTTGTCTGTAAGTATAGTCCTATCCCAGTAAAGCTTACACTTTTGATTGTCTAGAACAGTTTCAGGCTTGTATTTATAGTAAGGCTGTTTTTTTCTTATAAAATCATATTTGTAAGCGAGTTGTTGGTGAATTATTGAAGCTACTTGATCATGTCTATGTTTGTAGTCCGTTTGCACAATACTCTTACAGGATCCAGTTATATGCTGAATAGTTTCTGCTGCACTATTGCAGTGTCTGCATAAGTCGGTGGTCTGGTTCGGATCTTTTATAATATGTTTTTTGTAATTACGGGTGGCTATTACCTCATCTTGTATCGCAAGCATGAACCCTTCAGTCTCGGGAAACAGTTCGCCTCTCTTTAACCATTCGTTCGACTTATCTTTGTCGACGTGTGGATGGCAAAGGTTGGATCGGTGTCTTCCGTGTAATGATTTTCCAGTCCATGTTGCGATTTTCTGTTCTAAATTAGTCAGTTGCTCGTTGGTTTGAGTTTGTCTGTCGCACAGGTTGAGTGGTGTGAGTTTTTTGTCTGTTTCTGTAACATATTTGTGGATTAATGACTGTTGAGATTTAGTGTGGAAGTATTGTCTAAGGGTAGCTATTTGTTTGTTATGTAGGTTTTGGATATCTATCACTCCTCTTCCTCCTTCATGTCGTGGCAGAAAGAGTCTTTGGATGGATGATTTAGGGTGATGTTTCCTATATTTAGTAAGGTGCGTGTTCACGGTGCGTTGTAGGTTTTTTAGGTCTGTTTGTGACCAATTTAATATACCAAAAGAGTAAGTGAGGATTGGGATAGCAAATGTATTAATAGCTTTTATAGTATTTTTTGAATTGAGTTCAGTTTTCAAAATTAAGTCGATACTTGAATTTAGTTGTAAGATCATGTTTAGCTGCTTTTTGGTGAATTTGTCTAGATTGGTGAAATCCAAGATATTTGTATGTGCTAGCTTCATCCATCGGTTCGATCATTTCTCCAGTTTCAAGTGCATATCCGTTATTTTGAATTTTACCTTTATTAACTGATAGAATTTTGCATTTGTCAACACCGAACTGCATTTGGATATCTTTTGAGAATTCTTGTGTAATGTCAGCTAGAAGAAAGAGGTCTGTTTTTTTTGTGGCAAATAATTTAATATCGTCCATGTACATTAAATGTGAAATTGAACTATCATCATTATTTTTGTCTAGTTTGTATCCGAGATTACTGTTTATAAGTAGATTAGATAAAGGGTTTAGGGCAAGGCAGAACCACAAAGGGCTAAGAGCGTCGCCTTGGAAAATCCCTCGTTTGATATAAATTGGTTCAGTAGTTAATGATTGAGTATTATGGTTAATTTTTAGGGTTGTTTGCCAGTTTCTCATTGCAGTTTGTAAGAAGGATATGATTTTAGGGTTAATTTTATATATTTGAAGAATTCGAATTAGCCAGCTGTGAGGTACCGAGTCAAATGCTTTACGATAATCTATAAACATAGTGTGAATATCTTTTTTCTGTTTATATGCATTGTTCATAACAATAGCGTCTATAGTTAGTTGTTCTTTACATTCTTGGCTATTTTTCCTGCATCCTTTTTGCTGTTCCGTGAGGATCTTGTGTGTAGTTATGTGTTGATAAATTAATTCACTCAGACATGCCGTTAAGAGTTTGTAAATATTCTGGAGTAATTGGTCTATATTTAGCCGGGTTTTGTGCATCATTTTTATCTTTAGGCAGCATATAGGTGATTCCTTGTGTTACAAAAGCGGGTATACTGGTAGGTGAGTGTATGAATGAGTTTAAATGATTATGTATGTGTATATGAGTGGATGTAAACTTTTTATACCAATAATTATGTATATTGTCTGAACCAGGCGATTTCCAGTTATGAGCACGGTTGAGAACATGTAGAAATGTATCTATTGGTATTGAGTCGAAATTCATCATGGGGATATTTTCAGTAGTTTTATTAATTATATTAATCCATTCAGCGTTTTCATTGTGTTCAATAGGCTCTTCCCATATATTACTCCAGAATTCTCTAAGAGATTCAGTTAATAAGGGTTCAGTAGTTATTTGACTACCTTGTTGTGTTGTGGAAGTTAGGTTTCTATAAAAACTTTTTTCGTTATTGGTGAATTTCTGATTTTGTGTTTTTCGCGCTGTACATGTCATATATCGTTTAAGACGGCTGGAAACTGTGTTAAGTTTTTGTTTTAAGGTGTCTAAATAATGGTTTAATTGTGTGTTTGGGTTCTCATATTGTGCATGGATTAAATATTTGACTTTTATTTTCTCTACTGCTGTCATTACACTTTTGCTTCTATTCCCTCTTATATAATGTGTTAACTGTGCTATATTTGTTCGTAGTTTTATGACTTTATCTTCTAATCTTTTTTGCCAAGATGGTTTTATATGTTTATTTCTATTATAGGTGTTACTTTCTTTAATTTTCGTTCCGTTACAACTTGCTGCAGTATATGCAGCGATGTAGATCAAACTATGCAATTTATTGAAATCTAAATCTTCTTTTAAATAGTCAGGTAAGATGTTTGTATTAATGAATGCTACAATCTTTGCAAGCTTTTTGGATGTTTTCTGTTTGGGTATATATGGTCTACTTGTTGGATCAGTATATTCAAATTTTTCAACAGCTGTTACAAATTGCTCCGTGATTCTCTTCTGTATATCTGGTTGTAGATTATTATTATCGATGGTAGATATTTGTTCAGTATGTGTGTGTGTAAGATGTTGTGTGTTTGTTAACATTGTCTGTTCCTTTTCTATTCTGGGTATTTGTATGGTTTCGTAAGTGAGGTTTATATTTGGTTGGTTTTCAGGTGGAGTACTAATCTGGATTGTATGTGTGTAGGCTTCTACTTCCATTTTTATTTCTTGAATCCTATTTTGTGTTACCATATTGTTGTTCATTATTGCTCTTCTTTGATCTGATAATCTTTTTTCTGTTATATGTGACAGGTGTGGAAATCGCTTTATAAATTCACAGTGTAACTTTTTCTGATGTGCTGTCATATCAGTTTCATTATTTGTTACCTCAAAGTAAATACGTAAAATAGATTCATTTATTTCATTTGACCATCTCATTCGGCTTCCGGTTGACTGTGTTAATGTTAGGGTGGGCTCACTATTTGATGGAAAATCTTCAAGTATTGGCGACACATTGGTCTTGATTTCATCAATTACAGATTGAGGTAATAATTTATTGTTTATGATTGCTCTGCGTTGATCACCTATTCTTTGTTTAGATGCATTCATTTCAGGGTATTTTTCAATGAATTTTCGGTGTAGTGTGTCTAGATAGTTTCGCGTATCTGTTTCCATTTTAGTTATAATAAGGTAGTTGCGCAATATAAATTCGTTCATATCTGGGCTCCATTTACGTCTTGCGCTAGTAATGCCAGAGATGGGTGCTAGATTATCGGCGCATGCCTCCTGCACAACATCAACTGACTCTGGCGATAAAGTGGATGATCGTGATGTGGATTGTATTTCAGATGGGTATGAAGATGAGTTAGGTGATGAAAAAAGGCTATTGATTGATGAAAGTGAATCAGATGATGGTGAATTTGGGTGAGAAATGTTTTCGGCTGTAGTATATTTATCGACGAGAGTCCGCCTGTTCAACTCTCCGTCGCCAATGGTTCGTATACTGTGGCATCCAGCATTGGCCCCAGATGCGCCCCGGCGACCCCCGGGTAGCGGCCGTAAATTATATTTCCTTTTATTATTTTCCATCATATATTAATTTGAGGGTTAAGGGTTGGGATCGTTAGTTTGAGGAGGGTAGTCTAGATGTTAAAGACTGTTAATCTGTGATTTTTACTAAAATTTGTGCTTAAGATGGTATAAGCTTATGTCCTGCACCATACTCCCCGTAAGCCCCCCCACCGCGCCAAGGTGATCCCCTGGGGGGGTTATTATTATTATTATTATTATATACATACACATGCATTATCTGTCGCAATTATACAGTACTGTGAACACAATTCGCTCGTTCCAGTTTGATAAGCGTAGAGAGCACTTATACTAAACTCTGATTATGACATATAATCTAAATTGGAGATTAGTAATAGAAATTACATAAAAACACATACAGTAATCAGGCGGAAATAATAAATTAAAAAAAAATCTGGTCCAGATGAGGGACTTTTGTCCGTCCTCGTCTGGGAATAGTGTGAATGGAATGAAGAGTGAAAGGAATGAAATCCAAAAAAATTGAAGTATGTCTATGTGTTTTTTAAATGGGTGAAATTTGAATGGTAATGCTTGCTATTGATATATTGTAGATTGTCAAGGCACAAGTGAAAGATGATAGGTGAGGATGAAAGCTTCAAAAAAAGAGCATATTCCTTTTTAAAAGGCCCGCAGCATACTTGCAATGCCTTTAGTGTTGTGGGTGATCATGGGCGGTGGTAGTCACTTACTATCAAGTGAGCCCTAAGTTCGTTTACCCTCTGTATTGTAAAAAAACCCTTTCTCTACTAGTTCTATGAATTGTAGTATGCAATTCTGTGTTTTTGTCTGTGTCTTAACATAAAAGTACAAAATTGTGTGTCGAAGCTTAGGATTAGAGGATAATCCTAGTTTAATGACATCTCATTACTAAAATCCATCTAGTTGCTATGTTACATATATTATATATAGGCGACGGTTCCCACTTTCCATCAGTGGGCTGTCAGTTTGTACGAGGGAGACTTTGTACAAAAGTCGATTGCTTAGGTACCTCTGTCCCATCCGTGTTTTAACCGTGAAGCAGTTGTGTTTGCATGGCTGTGTTTCGGTTTGAAGGGTGGGATATGGCGTGAATTTACTGGGTACAGAGGAATAACACCTGAGTCCTCAGGAATGGCAACACGTGGGGGTCATCATGGGCGAAACAGTATACTCTGTTATGTCCATGGTGCTGCTCATGTCTATAGGCAACGGTTACCACTTTCCATCAGGTGGGCCGTCAGCTTGTTTGCGATTCAAAGTTGTATAAAAAAAAATTAAATTGTGTAAAAATATACATATCAAAAATCATTATACTAACATCTTGCGCAGTCGGGTATGAATGTAGGCCAAATGTCAAAAGGTCCGAGTTATAGTAACAATTATCAAATATTTACATTTATTTTTATCTTTTTCTAGGGAGCACAAAAACCATTCAAGACTGTAATAAAAGCCAACATTGGAGATGCCCACGCCATGGGACAGCAGCCCATCACCTTCATCAGACAGGTATGGCTTTACCGTTCTCTTTCTTCATGTTTGTAAGTCTGTTTATTTCTTGATTCAAAACTTTTGCACCGGTATGTGAAAGTAAGACCAGCCTGGGATGGGACCTGCATTGAATAAAAAGTGGTATTTATATTGTCACCTTATAAAACAAGTAAATAATTCTTCAACTGCGTTGGGAAATAACAAATATATCTTAGTTACCATATTTAGTGTACAAAATTAAATTCTTTGTAATTCTATATGTTTGTAATTTAATTTATTCGTAAAGTAATTTATTCACAATTCAATTTTTAGTAAAACATCACTAGAATAGGTATGTGTATGTGAATGTATATATATTTATATGTGTATGTATGTGTATATATGTATATATATTGTTATAGTAAGCAGTTTAATAAATTATATGTATTTGATATTTTTGTGCATTACATGTTTTTGTATTTTATACACGAAAATTATTAATTCACTCTTGCGCCACCTGCCCTTTTCTATCTGTTTAACTAAACTCCTCCTTTAACTAAAGGTTGTCTGTAAGAGATTGCCCTAGCGATAAGACCGCCTTTAGTACCTTTATGTGTATATTTCAATCTGTATTTATGTTACTGTATTTCACTTGAATTATTCACTTGTCATTGTATATTTGTATTTATGGTGCAATAAAGAGTTAAATAAATAAATAATTATATTTCTCTTGTTTGTAACCTCGAATATATTTAATATAAATTCAGTCCTTTTGTAAATATGATCAACATTATTTACATATGTAGGTATATAGAGCTGTTTTTATTGTATTATATATTTAATTTTTTACTGGGTATTATTTAGTTTATCTTCAATTGTACGGTTATTACCCTTATACATTCTACAGTTTTCTTTTAGCTTCTCAAAGGTCGACTGTAAGAGATCCCTTTATGGGATAAGTCCGCCATTATACGAGTATATTAAATCATTTATCAGTGCTTAATTTGAATTATGTACAATAAAGATTTTACAATACAATACAATTAATGCTTTTTTTTATTAATATTATAAATATGATATAAATATATAAAATATTTGGCTTATAATGAATAGATCGATGTTTGTTACTATTTCACGCAAAAACTACTAAACGTATTTGAATGAAATTTGGTGCAATAGGTAGGTTATTGAATACTGTATGTATGTACTGTTTCACGCGAGCAAAGCCGCGGGAAATAGTAAAGAATAAATAAATATATAAATTCCATCTTGTCAGGTGATCGCCTGTGTAACCCTACCGGAGTTGATAGAGAAAGGCGGCTACCCAGAGGACGTGAGGCAGAGAGCTCGCGACATCTTGAATGGCTGCGGGTGAGACATTATTTTTTAAACGCTCTCCTCAATACACTATAGTTATATCGAATGACGTGTTTATTTTCGTCGGTACTGCTCTGGTACTGTAATATCCGTTGCTATACAGTTGATATAAATAGCGTCACGTCGGAGCTGCAACTTTGAATCTTATGTAGTCGTAATAAAGCTGATCGTTCCGTGTAATGGTTTTGATTATCTATGTATTTGTATTTCTTATATCTTTTATCTAGAGGTTTCTTCAGATGTTCACTACGGTAATCGTTTACCATCAGTTTGGCCGTATGTTAGTTTGCCACCTCAGTGTTATAAAAAAAAATTTCTTAGCTAAGTCTTTTCTGAAGTAGGCAGGCGTGTTTTCGAACGATTGCTTTTTACTATACATACATAAAGAGGGTCTTTTTTTAAATCTTGGTATAGAAATTACGATGGGATTCTATATTAATTTTAACTAAATAAAAAGTTTGTTTTCTAGGAACACAATTTTCAATTATTACTGTGGATTCAAATGTGAATTTCCTTTAACCAGAGGGAGACTTTGTAAAAAAGTCGATTGCTTGGGTACCTCTGTCCCATTCGTGTTTCTACCGTGAAACAGTTGTGTTTGCATGGCTGTGTTTCAGTTTGAAGGGTGGGATATGGCGTGAATTTACAGGGTACAGAGGAATAACATCTGAGTCCTCAGGAATGGCAACGCATGGGGGGTATCATGGGCGAAACAGTATACTCTTTTATGTCCATGCTACTGCTCATGTTTATAGGCGACGGTTACAACTTTCCATCAGGTGGGCCGTCAGCTTGTTTGCCATTGTAAGCTGTATAAAAAAAAAAAACTGGTGTAACAAAGTTTACTGTTTGTGTTTACTTGTTTTGTCATTAGAAATTAAACAGGTTTGGGTCTTAGGTCTCAAAAAAATGATATAATATTATTTTACATGTAATAACTGCAAATGCGTTACGAAATATACTGAAATATGACGAGAAAATATATATTTTAACGAAAATACTATGCGATAATATTTTCATTGAGGGTTTCTTAGTTACAAATCTTCAAATAAAATATTCCATTTAAAGATTTTCTGAAAAAAAAAATGCAGGGGCATGGGCTTCTAGTAGTTGGAGTCGTTAGGCAGTTTTTTTTTATGGTTTGCGGTGCAATATTTAAGGCATCCCGTCCTCGCTATTGGATACGGGTGACGGAATGCCTATACAAGAGGGTACATGGTGGATGCAATATTTGAGGAGCACTACGGCCGGATACTGCAACAAAAAAAAGAGTATGTGGTCGGCCTCCGAACTGGCGACCTCTGCTGTCTACCGGTCTCCAGGCAGTAGATTACACTGTCTAATGGTCAATCCGGCCTTAAGAATATCTGATATGCTAAGAATAACCTCACATCCATTGTGAACTAGCTCATATCAATTAGGTACAATCGAGTAAATGGTTGACCAAAGCACTAAACTCTATATTGTGTTGACGTGTTGTAAAACGTTAGTACACTTAGCATGCACGCGATTACGAATTGAATTGTGAGACGAACTTATGCACTTTTGTGTCAATGACTCTGGCAACACTGTGAACATTTTACTAATGAATTTGTATATTTTTTTATCTCATAGTTTTTAATACCAAGTAGTTTGTTTGACCAAATTCATCTACATGCTACTCGTGTTAGTGTTAGGGACTACTCACACTTATTCAGCTCTCTTTCTATCACCTGCGTACGGCGTCGTATGAATGAGAAAAGCCGTCATAGCGTGCTATCTCCGCTGAAATGCTTGTCTACTGCGTACGGCGTTGAATATGCTGCATTTCGTTAAAAAAATACTTATAATTACTATAAAATACGTATGCACTCTTTAATCCTTGCGTACATAATGATTACGCAATAATAAATCAAATCCATTGAGAAACAATACAGGTCGCAACTTGTCGACAAGGAGTCGCGAAACACCTCTGAAAAGTTGGTTCGCCGCGTTCGACGGTGAATGCGGCGGAACAGCGCTGAACACTCTCTATAGCATTCGCATGATAGATACACATTTATCCTCATTTTATACTGAGTTGCCGCGAAAGCAGAATATACGCGGAAAGCTGAATGGATGCGTACACGTCTCCATGCAAAATCGTTGTTTTCTATGGTCAAAAGCTGAATAGAGATGAATAAGTGTGAGTAGTCCCTTACCCTCTGTCTCGTGTCAAGTTATAAACCGGCTTCGTTTTACAAATAGGCCGCTAACGCGTAAGTTTTTTGGATGAGGGCTTTAGGACGCGATGCACGTTTTATATTGTATAAAAGACGGGAATGAACATGACTGTTTAGTTATATTTCTCTTATGGGAAAGACTATGGGGAAGAAAAAAGTTAACAGCTGATGATTATAATCATTATCACCATCATTTTTCATATCTAACCTATCATCATCATCATTGTATCATCCTTTAACTATCCAACGCTAAACATTAGTCTCCCCATATGTTTTTTTTTGATGGGTGAAAATGGTATGGTAACCTCGCCTGCGCTAACGGGATACGCTGGCGGAGCACCAGTGAAGGGTGATAGATGAGAATGAAAACAGGCCAGTTAGCCCATCATGATAATTTCATCAAGAATTAACCACGATAGTTTCCAGAGAGAACCGCAAGGAGGTCGACCTGGTTGGGTATATTGCTAGCAATGGGATTCTCAGTCTCCATGACTAACAATCCCTTTCTCTCCCCATAGGTTTGTTTTGCCAGTAGTTGCCACGCTTGGCAGGCGGGTTCGTAATCGTAGTTAGGTTTTATAGATGTTTTAAGAGGGACGTTGTTCACCCATCTTTCGCCCTTCCTTAGTCGATTCTTACGACATCTATGGGAAAGGAAGGGGTGGCCTATTCTATGCCGGGACCACACGGCGATGTTCTAGCCTGGTCTAAGTATAATTTGGGTTGACCTACGACAACTGTCGTTAGAAACTCAATAAATGAACCTTATTTGTACTCGCGTTGTCCGATTTTTTTTTATTTGCGCTTTTTTAGCATTTTTATAGTCTTTTTTTGCGGTCACTAATTATCAACGTTTTTTTAGATAAATAGACATACATTTGACGTACCATTCACAGCGCTCATATAGATTAGGTGTATTTTTAAATACTTACAATAAACATACGTATCTATTTATTATTATCTATTCCTTTATAGTTTCGTGTTATCTGACACATTTTTTTCCATGTTGTTTATATTTCATGTTTAATATAGATATTTGAAAATATATTGTTATTGACATTTGATACGGATGCCGTACGACTGTGCACTTTGTACTTGTCGAAGGAGATTATAAGGCGCCCGGCTCGCTCCGCTTGTAATCTGCGGTGCAAAAGTCGACGAGTGCAATCAACTTCCTTTTTAAACAACTTCGAAAGAGAGGGTTCGATTTTTTAATGGGTGATTATGGAATGGTAAACTCGCCTGCGCTATCGGTATACGCTGGCAGAGCGCCGGTGAGGGATGATAGGTGACGATGAAAGCAGATCAGTTGGCCCACCATGAGGAATTCGATAAAAAATTACCATGATGGTTTCCAGAGGGAACCGCGTGGAGGTCGATCTGACAGGGTATATTGCTATCAATGGGACTGGTAGTATGCATTACTAACAATCCCTTCCCCCCACCCACATTTTATGTATTAGACATACTTCGATTAGAATTTATTTTAATTTCATTTTTATTTTTCCACGACGTATCCCGAGTCACGTTCCCCAGCCACCCAGGGGGGCCGCCACTTGAGAGCGTAGTGTAGTGTGTGACACGATGAATTGATCTAAATTGCACCATAATCGATGTTATCACTGCCGTTTCGAAACCTGTAACTATCAGATACGGCTATCAGTGCGCTCGATTGTTTACAAGTGGATATTTTACGATAAGTACTTAGAGCTAATGATAATAAACCCATTACTAAAGTGAGCTCGACTGTTTATTTTTTTTAATGGGTGATAATGAAATGGTAGCCCCGAAAGCGCTAACGGTATACGCTGACGGGGCACCAGTGAGAGATAGATGTGGATGAAAGCAGGTCAGTTAGCCCATCGTGAAGAATTCCACGAGAAGTAATCACGACGGTTTCCACGTGGAGATCGACCTGATTAGTAACATTGCTAGCGATGGGGCTGTTAGACCTCATAGCTAACTGTCTGAAAGTGATAACCGTCGCCTATAAACATGAGCAGTACCATGGACATAACAGAGTATGCTGTTTCGCCCATGATACCACCCATGCTTTGCCAGTCCTGAGGACTCAGGTATTATTCCTCTGTACCCTGTAAATTCACGCCATATCCCACCCTTCAAACCGAAACACAGCCATGCAAACACAACTGCTTCACGGTAGAAACACGAATGGGACAGAGGTACCCAAGCAATGCTTGTTAATAGATAGAGTTAATCTAGTGTTGGTACTTTCAGTTTGGTGGAACAAATATGTCAAATATTTGTTCCACCAAATACTGGCGTCAGTAGAAGTTATTGCATAGTTGAGACCTTGAGACATATCGATTCGGAGACCTGCCTACATTCCGCGCGGTTATAGCGACAGTGCGTCATACATGTTTGCATAAGAGCGCACCGGCGACTTTTGTAAATGATTGCATCGTTTTTAAAAATATTTCGAGCCTTATAATGGTGGCAGTTTTCATGATACTATAATGGAAAACGAGTATACAGCCCTTCCGCTGGTAAACGGTTACCGTAGCCTATGAATAAACGCCAGGGCGACACCCTTAGTTTTGCAGGCATCCTTAAGAATTACGTCCTTGTAGAATCTTATGCTGCAATCTCTAAGAAAAACATATCTTTTAAGGAATTTTATTAGTAATGACGAGGTCCTGCTTAGGGTTAGACACAAATTATAAGTAGAACTATTGAGTACAGAAGGGAAAAAAATGTTGGGGCACTTGATACGACACGACGAATTTATGAAAATTATAATAGAAGGTAAGATAGAAGGAAGGAGGGGAAGAAGCAGACCAAGGCATAGTTACATCAAGCAGATCAAGGAAGGAATTGGTGTCGGGTTTTATGAAGAGGTGAAGAGACCCGCAGAAAATCGTATTGAGTGGCAGGAACTCCACCGACAAGAGAGCAGCTCTTCTATAGGATAGATAGATGAAATCTTAGACATATGACGCGATCACATAATGTAGCTTTTTATGCAATATAGAATGGCAACCAAGCTGACGGCCCACCTGATGGAGAGTGATAATAGTCGCTTATAGACATAGACATCACGCAATACACTGTGATGCGTTCAGTGCCGGTCTTATAGTACTTGGGGCATCGGCAAGTTGCCCTCTGATGACAAAAAAGCAGTCATAACTGGGGGAACCCTGAGCAAAGTGCGAACGTCTGATGACTCTCCTCACAGATGGGATTGGTGAAAAATCAACATGATCCTTTAATTATCCTAGCATCTCTCTTACAGCTTATTATATTGAGTGAGTGAGAATTACGCCATGTCTTATGGCTTGAGTTACAATAGTCAGAAAAGTGATTACATGGTCTTTAAGGTCGTCGGTAGGTGTCCGAATGATGTTCCGCCAATTTGTTTTAAATGGAACCCTACTCAAGCGTGTATATAAATTTAAATACTAGGACATTGGTTTATTGACGACCCTAAAGATGATGTTGATATAGAGAGGGAGCGTAGGGCATTGGCGATTCGAGGCGTAGATTCGCCCGATATTCGTACCAGGTCAAGATTACACTGTTCAGGCATATTGTCAGGGTCTCTACGCAAGCGGTTTATAGTTCAGACATACTGAAAAATCGCTGGATGCTCTACGTGTCCTGTACAATAATATTTAGGAAGACGTTAGGACTTCCCCGCTTTTGTAGCGTTTCAGAAATGTTTGCACAAGCACGGATTGATGGTGTTTATGCCATCATTCGTAAGAAAGTCAGAGAGTGACAACACCATTTTTAAAATGATAGCTGAGGATGTCCATGCACCTGTGATAGGGCATTTCGTCAGGGCGATGACTAAAACACAAGATAACCATGCCCTGGTTTGTTACCGTCCTGACCGAATGCCTTTCAGGTATATTATTTATTAAATTATTTTACTAACGTAATTTTAAGTTTACTACCAACAAAATAGATCTTGTGGTCTGGAATTAAATTAATTCAAATTATATTACTCGGCGCTCCTTTTGGACTTCGTTGGACTTCGACGCCAAGACCTCACTTGTCACCAATTTTGTATAATGTTTACATTGCTTGGGATCAGCGGGCAGTCAGTGGGCTCGTACACGGCGTCGCACGGCATCGAGCTGATCAGGCGGCACGTGGCCGAGTACATCGAGCGGCGCGACGGCCACCCGGCCGACTGGCAGGACATCGTGCTCTCCGCCGGCGCCTCCAACGCCATCAAGAACGTGCTACAACTTTTCTGCAATCAGATCGATGGCAAGAACTCCGGTAAGATGAGGTCTTATCAGAGATGTAGTTTGTACAGAAGTCGCCTGCTTGGATATCTTAGCTCCATTTGTGTTGCTGCCGTGAAGCAGCTGGGCTTATATCCCACTGTGGATAGTATCGATCTGCGGATCGACGCAAAGAAACAACCAAAAGTCTAGAAAAACCAGAAGGAGATTACAAAAGTCCTCTGCTTGGGTACCTCGGTTCCACTCTGTAGCCGAGTAGCTTGTATGGCTGTATTTCGGTTTGGAGGTTGGCATATGGTGGTACAATTACAGGGTACGGAGGTATAACACCATAGTCTTATGGAATGGCAATGCACGAGCGGCACCATGAACTCCACAGAGTATTTTGTGTTGTACATACTTGTTCATGTCTATAGGCAACAGTATGTAAAGTATTTTAACAAGTCCCTCATAATAATTCTATCCGGTTATGGGCCCAGTATACTTTCACTATCAGCCTCCTAATACTTTATCCTACACACTGTAGCATGAGGTTTTCTAAAAATACCATAATATAATTTGTAGAGAGTTCGCTAACTTGCATTTAACGTTTTATTTATTTAATGCAAGTCTTATATGATAGTGTAAAACTCTGCATTATCAAGAAAGACAAGTTATCTTGACGTGATAATGTCGGGTAATTAACCTTTAATCATTATAATATAATGCGGTATAATAATTACAGGTAAAATAATTACACGACATGTACGTTGCATTCACAATCGATTCTAGAACCAGCGATAGTTACGCCTCTACCTTATGTGTAATAAACGCAACAATAGGGTTGACACATGACTTTAATATCAATGCTACCTATTCTATTTTACTACTGCTCGTGTGAGAGTGCCGTGTGTGTCCCGGCATAGAATGAGCCACCCCTTCCTTGTCCGTACGCGTCGTAAGAGGCGACTAAGGGATGGCGCGGGATTGGTAGCAGCGTCCCTCTTAAAATATCTCTAAAAGCCTAATTGCGGTTGCAAACCCGCTTGCCAAGCGTGGCAACTTCTGGCAAAACTTCCCTTATGGGGAAGGCTTATGTCCAGCAGTGGGCAGTTAACGGTTGCAATTATAATGTGATAGTTACTGTAGCGTCGTCCGGCCTCAAGTTTCTTAGCCGGCTTTTTGAAGGTCCTTTCTGTGGCTTATCAGACGACAGTCTGATGTGCCCTCCGAAAGCACCTAGCACGTAAATTTTTATGCTTGTACGGGGTATTTATCTTAGGGTACTTTTTTTAATGGGTGATGATGGAACCCCGCCTGCGCTATCAGTATACGCTGGCGGGGCACCAGTGATGGATGATAGGTGAGGATGAAAAGACAGGTCAGTTAGCCCATCGTGATAAATGCACTTGGAATTCAGCACGATGGTTTCCAGGGGGGACCACGTGGAGGTCGACCTGGTTGGGTATATTGTTAGCAATGGGCCCTTAGTTTGCATTATTAGCAATCCCTCCCTCCTTATCTTAGGGTATTGGTACGTCATACCTCTGGCGTTGCAAGCGTTTATACACTGTGGTGCTCTTTTACCATCCGATTGGATTGATACACTCGTATTAAAACGATCGTGCAGCACCCCTGACGGTAGTATGCGCATGCGCCGGTCGCCGTCGTCACATTATTTTAATTAGCGCGTAGCCGGCTACCGTGTCGCTTGACCTTGCGCACTATAGTAATATGTAGTAGTCACGCTTCTATTACGCGACTCCATAACGTAATCATAAAAGTAAATATATTTTACTAGTTGTAATTCACAGCTTTGTTTGTGTGATTTGGGATCAATAGTGTCTTATATGGTAACCTAGCTGTGCAGGTCACGGCATAGGATAGGCAACATACCATAGGCGACTAAGGCAGCTTATGATGGGGGGATAGGCGGTAGTGTCACTCATAAAACATAATCATAGGCTAAATTGCAGTTGCCAACCTGTCTGCCAAGCGTGGCAACTACTGGCAACCCCCCTTCCCCCTATGGGGGAGGCTATGTTCAACAGTGAATAGTTAACGACTGGTACAATATGGTAATCTAGTGGGGAAAGGGATTGTTAGTAATGGAGACTGAGAATCCCATTGCTAGCAATATACCCAACCAGGTCGACCTCCTCGCGGTTCCCCCTGGAAACTATCATGGTTGTATAAAAAAAAATACAGTTAAAGCAGGTTTTTTTTTTTGTAAAAAGAAATAGTGACCTCGCCAGCGCTGTCGGTATACACTAGCGAAGCACCAGTAATAAATGATAGGTGAGGATGAAAGCAGGCCAGTTAGCCCATCGTGACGAATGCACAAACATTAACCACGATGGTTTCCAGGGGGAACCGCGTGGAGGTCGACCTGATAGGGTATATTGCTAGCCCCATTGGCCTAGTTAAAATAGGTTTGTAGGCGGTTTTAGTATTTATAAGTAAAGGTGTTAATCTTTATATAAGAATCCACTTGTTACGAACGCAGTAGGGCAATGTTTTTTTTTTTAATGAATGATAATGGAATGGTAACCCCACCCGCGCTATCGGTATACACCGGTGGGGCACCAGTGAAGGATGATAGGTGAGGAGATGAAGTAGGTCAGTTAGCCCATCGTGACGAATTCAACAAGAATTGTTCATGATGGTTTCCAGGGGGAACCACGTGGAGGTCGACCTAATAGGGCATATTGCTAGCAATGGGGCTGTCAAACTCCATTACTAACAATCCCTTTCCCCCCAGTAGGGCAATGTTAGCGGGACAGTCTCACGGTCACAGTCATACGCGGCTCATATAATACCCGTTTCATTGTAAGAGTTCCTATATTTATCTTTTGTCACGTTGTTTGTAAGACTGGTCGTATGAACTGGCTTCATCTCTGTTTATCGTAATAGCTACGGTTTGTTATGGTTTTTTTTTATAGGTGAAAAATTTTTTTTTATACAACTTAAAATGGCAAACAAGCTGTCGGCCCACCTGATGGAAAGTGGTAACCGTCGCCTATAAACATGAGCAGTACCATGGTCATAACAGAGTATACTGTTTCCTCCATGATACCCCCGCATGCGTTGCCATTCCTGAGGACTCAGATGTTATTCCTCTGTACCCTATAAATTCATAAATGATATGGTAACCCCGCCTGCGCTAACGGGATACGCTGGCGGAGCACCAGTGAAGGATGATCGATGAGAATGAAAACAGGCCAGTTAGCCCATCATGATGAATTCATCAGGAATTAACCATGATAGTTTTCAGGGAGGACCGCGAGGAGGTCGACCTGGTTGGGTATATTGCTAGCAATAGGATTCTCAGTCTCCATTACTAACAATCCCTTTCCCCCGGTTTGTTACGGTATGCTGATCAAACATTTTTATACGTAATTTGTATGTGATGCGTATAGCCAATAATCAAGCAGATGACTTTGCCTTCTAGTCTGTTACACCATTTACTTCTAGCAATGGCATTTACCAGATCCGATCCAGAATGCACTGTCTCCACATCTTTTTCATCCTTAGGATATCATAAGAGATAACTAAGTAGACTGCCAAGCTATAAAAAGTTTCCTGATCGGCATGATTTTAGTACTCGTGTGCCCAATAATGGGGCGTTCATGGGTTGCTATGGAGACGATCATGACGATGATTGTCTCCATAGCAACCCATGAATGATGTTGACAATCATGATGGAGACAATCATAACATTAGTACTTTACCTGGACATGACGAAGGTGATCTGTATATTCTTGGAGCCAACCGGATAAAAAGTATATATTTCACCAGAAGGGAAACTTTGTATAAAAGTTGCCTATTTGTATATCTCTGTTTTACCTGTGTTTCTATTGTGAACTGGTAGTACATGGCAGTAGCTATGTCCAGTAGTGGACGGATTATGGCTGACACAATGATTATGATATATCAGTGAAATTACAGATTTCGGAGGCAACACCATAGTCCTCGAGAAGTGTGTCGCATGAAAAGCACCATAGGTATCAAAGTGCATTATGGTGCTGTACATGTTTGTATGAAACAGTTGCCATTTTCCACAAGGAGTGCCGTTTACCTGTTTCCCATTCCAAGATGCATAGAAAAATACTGTGATAGTTGGTATAATATCAAATTGTTATGTTTTGCAGGAGTCATGATTCCCATCCCCCAGTACCCGTTGTACTCGGCCTCCCTGGCGGAGTACGGCTTGGAGCAGGTGGGCTACTACCTGGACGAGGACAACAACTGGGCCCTGGATGTATCAGAGCTTGAACGCTCGCTGGCTGAAGCTGAGAAGAAGTGCAAAGTGCGCGCGATTGTCGTGATCAACCCTGGCAACCCCACTGGACAGGTTAGCACACAGAATTTGCTGTATTTTTTTTTAAAAGGATGAAATTGAATAGGTGACCTTGTCTGGGCTATTGGTATGCGCTACGGGGGTACTAGTAAGGGATAATAGGTAAGAATAAAGATCCAGGTGGTTCACTATGATTTTATATTGGATTACAAATAGAAATAATCTTTTAAGGGCCAAATTAAAAGTACCTGTAACCAGGGAGCGTGTATGAAAAGATTGATGAATGTGGAAGAAGCGAAAAAAGTTTGTTTGAATCGAAGCATTTGGCGTTCCATTGTTTCTGCCTTCCCTGATGGGAGACAGGCGTGACAGATATGTATGTAAGTATGTATATAATCATTTAATTCCCAGAATGTTAAAAGCGACTAAGGAACAGCATAATTCAACGAGTACAGGGAGTAAAAACTTCAGATCAAAATGTATATCAAACCAAATGGCCAATGTAATCGTACAAGGCTGTATCCTCTCTTTTTTAGAGAGAGAGAGAGATTAATGTTTTTAAAACTATTCACCTCCGCTTCCCAAGGTTTTGTTTTAAAATAAAGTACAACCCATCTTTCTCGCTACTAATATAGCATTCTATTGAGAAAAGAATTTTAAAAATTTAGTAATTTTTTCTTTTTTTATACAACTTAGAATGGCAAACAAGCTGACGGCCCACCTGATGGAAAGTGGTAACCGTCGCCTATAGACATGAGCAGTACCATGGACATAACAGAGTATACTGTTTCGCCCCTGAATAAATAAGAGTAATTGATAAATTTAAATTGAGTTTATCCATTACAAATAAAAAAATCAAGTCTTAAATACCATGTCGTTAGCTACGCATCAGAAAATGTATAAAAAAATGCACAGATCAGTGACGGTAAGCAGTCATCTAGAATTCTAAACCAATGACCGTGACATCGTCTGTGATTAATGTTTACATTGTTCTATCTCATCGCATCGATACAGCGGAAAACTGGTGTATCTAACGAACTGTTCTAAATCAGTATCTATTTATGCCTTTTTTCTAGTTGTAATTAATCATAAATTGATTTTATTAAAAAGAAATAATCTATAATTAAAACATTTATGCGTTAAACTACTTGTTCATGTTTATATCTAATGTAAGAAAAAACATAAAGATAAAAATATTAAACCTTCAAATAAATATAAAACTTTGTTTATAATAGTACAAAAACAACAATAAAGATAACAGTAATAAAATTAAATCAAACAAGTTCTATTTACACACATACACACAAAAAATACCCGCACGAAACGTATAAATAAAAAAATATATGAACTTTGACTAACCGCATTTGACATATATACATACATACATACATACATACATATATATATATATATATATATATATATATATATATATATATATATATATATATATATATATATATATATATATATATATATATATATATATATATATATATATATATATATATATATATATATATATATATATATATATATATATATATGTGTGTATGTATGTATATGGGCAAATACTTTCCTTCTTCAGAAGTGGGACCTTACGAGAAATTCTTCCAAACAAACCTGCCTCGCATAATCGCCTTCGAACCGTTCTTGCGGACACTCTATTAGCCCCCTCTGCACCAATTACTTCCCAGCGAATAGTTTCTGATCCTTTGAAAGGGTCTTTTTTAGCCAACAATGCTATTCTTGAGTCTTCTCGCCGATCAGTTACAGTTTTAAATTAGCCACCATACAGTCCCGACATTAAGCCGATCGAAAACTTGTGGTCCCGTGTGAAGAAAATAGTGGCAAAGAAACGTACAAGTTATGCGCATCAACTTTACACGGCATTTAAACAGGCATGGGAGCAGATATCGATCGGAACCTGCAATAAATTGATTGCTTCAATGCCTAGGCGGTGTCAGGCCGTCATTGCTGCTAAAAGGCATGCTACAAAATATTAATAACATACTTTTATGATTTTATTATACATATAAAATTAATTATAGTTAAGTCCGTTTCAAAGGCCGGCAGCGCACCTGCATTGCCGCTGGTGTTGTGGGTGATCATGGGCGGCGGTAGTCACTTACCATCAGGTGAGCCGCATGCTCGTTTGCCCCCTGTGTTGTAATAAAAATATTATTTACAATACACAACGGATTGTGCTCAGAGGAATTATTCAATATGATGCCTACGGCCACTTTCTATCATTGTACGGCTCGCCATCGACAGGGAGTTCACCCTCATACCTTACAGCCTAAATGGTCGCGTACAACGCGGTTTCAGAGATGCTTTCTCCCACGAACACTCAGGTTATGGAATGAGCTCACTGCCGAGGTTTTCCCAAGAGACTACAGCATGGGGTTCTTCAAAAGGGGGGTAAAGAGGATTCTTCAGTGTCGGCAACGCGCGCGTAATACCTCTGGTATTGCAGGCGTTCATAGGCTACGGTAACCGCTTACCATCAGGTGGGCCGTATGCTTGTTTGCCACCTCAGTGGTATAAAAAAATATAGTTACTTAATTTATGTGTCCTTAATTAATTGGCCAAGACTTTGCATCAGTTCGTACTGCCTACAATGAAGTAAAAATTGTGTAGTACCATGATAGTGAGCATATTTATAAATATAATTCGGTTACGTGGCAGGTGCTGACGCGCGACAACATCGAGTCCATCATAAAGTTTGCTAAGAAACACAACCTGTTCGTGTTCGCGGACGAGGTGTACCAGGACAACGTGTACGCCAAGGGCAGCAAGTTCTTCTCCTTCAAGAAGGTATGTTTATAAATGAAGGTATAACATGTACACACGCCGCCACTACGCCCCGTTACGGTGGCGCCCTCTAGTATCAAGGGCACAAGCTTTGTTCGACAAACGTTGTTTTACCATATACATTGTTTGTAGAAAAATATTTTAGTTAATAATACAAATATAATACCGGATTCATGAAGGGTCTCCATGGGAATGATGTACGGGAACTATATAGAAGCGAGAAACGCCGCGGGAGACGGCTAGTAATTAATTATAATTGAACAAAAACTATTTTTATTCTTATAATGAACTAGCGGATCGCCCGGCTTCGCACGGGTGGTACATGTTTACAACATTTTAAAAAGTGGTTATTGTGACATAACGATAATAGTTGGACATATAGTATCGCGAAGTTCTTTGTAGTTATCGATATTTTCTTCAATATTGTAGAACATACTTTTGTTCTATCACCAACAGTTTCCGCAGCGTACGCGACCAAAGATATTTTATAGCATTTTTTACACCTTGAGTTACGTTACTAAAGTTTTAGTAAGGATCCTTATTCTTTTCTAGCAATAAATATAGCCTATATTACTCAGGGTGAATGTAGCTTTCTAATGGTGAAAGAATTTTTGAAATAGGCAAAGTAGTTTTTGTGTTTATTCATTACAAACATACATACACACAGAAATACAAATCTTTCCTCTTTATAATATTAGTAGTAATGAATAAGCGTTTCCTATAAAAGAAAACACGTGTAACTGGATCATGGTATGTTATCACTGGCTTCGTCTCCGCGCGGCCATGACACGAGCTCGAGTGAACGACCCGCACTCACACAGTGCTGTCTGATAATATCAATAATTAATCATTGTAACCAAAACACGAAATAACTGGTTATCCGTGTTACTAACTAGTAGTTACTTACAGCACATAGCGATAGATTCGATTACGAGTTACGCCACTTTTCTGTCCATTATACAAAGAGGGATCAAAAAGTAGTGAGAACGATATACTCCTTGGTAAGAAAAAAAATAAATACTGGCATGCATAGTACAAAAGTCGTTTGCTTGGGTACCTCTGTCCCATTCGTGTTTCTACCGTGAAGCAGTTGTGTTTGCATGGCTGTGTTTCGGTTTGAAGGGTGGGGTATGGCGTGAATTTACAGGGTACAGAGGAATAACATTTGAGTCCTCAGGAATGGCAACGCATGGGGGATATCATGGGCGAAACAGTATACTCTGTTATGTCCATGGTACTGCTCATGTCTATAGGCGACGGTTACCACTTTCCATCAGGTGGGCTGTCAGCTTGTTTGCCATTTTAATTTGTATAAAAAAAATTTCTTCTCCATACTACCAGGTGCTGACAGAGATGGGCAGCGAGTACAGCGGCGTGGAGCTGGCGTCGTTCATGTCGGTGTCGAAGGGCTACATGGGCGAATGCGGGCTGCGTGGCGGCTGGATGGAGCTGGTGCACCTGCAGCGCGACGTGCAGGCCAACCTCTACAAGGCCATCTCCGCCATGCTGTGCCCCACCACGCTCGGCCAGGCCGCCGTCGACTGCGTGGTCAGTATGTCGCGCCTACTACAACATTTACATTTATATCCACTGGCACACACGAGCCATCTATCAGTGCGCGAATCCAAATTATTTTGTCATTTGAATAGTTACGTATATACATATCTGTCACGTTTGTCTCCTATTAGAATTAGCAGAAACAATGGAACACCAAATACTTCGATACAAACAAACCTCTTTCGCTTCCTCCACATGCATCAATCTTTTCATACACGCTCGCCGGTTACGGGTACTTTTAATTTGGCCCTTCTTCAGCACGTCGCCTATTTGGTCGACATACGTCCGTCTAGGGCGGCCCCTACCGACATCTCCATTCATTCTTGCTCGATAAATCTCTTTCGTAATTCTTCTTTCATCCATCCTCTCCAAATGACCAAACCAACGCAACATTCCTTTTTCGATTTTTGTCACTACATCGTCTTTCAGTCCACACTTCTCTCTAATCACACTGTTTAGAATAGTTAGTAATTATTCATTTGATTTATTTATTTATTTACACATTAACTAATACTAATTAGATACAATCTCTCTTTAAGAAAAATAATATAAATTATACATGTTACATATGACAACATAATAATGAAGATTTCTGTTGTACCAGAGGGAGACTTTGTACAAGTCGATTGCTTGGGTACCTCTATTTCATTCGTGTTTCTACCGTGAAGCAGTTGTGTTTGCATGGCTGTGTTTCGGTTTCAAGGGTGGGATATGGCGTGAATTTACAGGGTACAGAGGAATAACACCTGAGTCCTCAGGAATGGTAACGCATGGGGGGTATCATGGGCGAAACAGTATACTCTGTTATGTCCATGGTACTGCTCATGTCTATAGGCGACGGTTACCACTGTCCATCAGGTGGGCCGTCAGATTGTTTGCCATTCTAAGTTGTATAAAAAAGGTGACACAGTTATATAATTTATTATTATGATAAGTGGTATTGGATGCAGGCGCGGCCGCCGCGGGAGGGCGAGCCGTCGTTCGCGCTGTGGAAGAAAGAAAGGGACGGCGTGCTCGCCTCGCTCAACAAGCGCGCGCAGATGATCGCTCACACCTTCAACCAGATGGAGGGCTTCCACTGCAACATCGTGCAGGTCTCCACCCTCATATCTTGTTTGCTACGTACTTTAAGCCAGTGCCTTAATTTTTATCAAAATCAGAGGATCCACCATGAAATGTTTTCCGAAATTTAGGAACCGAACGAAACACAAATTTGATGTTAAAATTAAATATTACATACCGTTTAAAAATACAGTGACGCTCTATATAAACAACATTCTTTATATTTTAATTATTCTACTCAACTTAGTAAAAGAAATAAGTAAAAATATTTTCCAGACGGTAAGTATTTTTATACTCCTTTTTTCCCTGTAAGCAACTTTACACGATAAGTATCTTTTTTTATTAAAATTGGTTCAAACGAGTTGCTTATCTATGTATAGCGTTCACTGTATTTAAAATGTTGAAATATCATTTCTTTGGATCTTTATGGAAGTATTTATGACGAACAAACTATTAATCTCTATTTACTGTGCTGATTTCGGTGTGTACGTAATCACGTAATTGAGTTCGAAATTCGGAATTTTATTTCATGGTAGTCCCTGTGTAATACAGTAGTTTAAGTTTTTAAATCGAAATAACAGGTTTTGCCACAATTATAGTTATTTATTTGAAAGTTGACAAATAATTTCGCCCTAACATTGAAATATGAAGAGTATTGAAAACTGAGGGCTAACCGTGAAATATTTTTCAAAATTCCGGCCCACAAATTTGATATTGAAATTACATGGTACATATTGTTTAAAATTGATAAAAATGTTAAATTATCATTCCTTTAGACCTTTATATTAGGATTTATGACAAAGGAATTGTTAAGTTCCATTCATTGGGTCGATTTCGGCATGAATAAAAACAGGAAGATGAGTCCGAAAATTCGGAATTCATTTCATGGTAGACTCCCTGTTCATTGTTTAATAATCTTCATACTGTAATAAACTAACCGAGCGAGTTCGTATCAGGGCGCTATGTATGCGTTCCCGCGGTTCGAGCTGCCGCCACGAGCTGTGGAGGAGGCCAAGAAACAGAACCAGGCGCCCGACGTGTTCTACGCGTTCAAACTGCTCGAACAAACGGGTACGTACTTATGGGTACTTTTTTATATATATTGGCCATGTCTCCAAGAGAAAGCATAGAGGTATGCTCTGTAAGGTTAATTAACTAAGATGAAAATGACGCCAAATGATTGAAAATGCCAAATTTGAGTAACAAGATAGTAGATATGTTGCTCAATGCAAATGAGGTTTGGCTTTCAATTTTAAGATACATACTTCATCATCATCATACCTTTGACTGCCTTTAACTGTTCACCGCTGAACAAAATCCTCCCCCTTGGGAGAGTTTTGCCCGTAGTGACCACGCTTGGCAGGTGGGTAACTGCAGTTAAGCTTCGGAGATGTTTTAATAGGGACGCTGCTGCCCATCCCTCGCCTTTCCTTAATCGTCTCTTACGACACCTAAAGATTTTCTATACTGGCTTAGACTGACGGACCACCAGGTGGAAACTGGTAACTGTCGCCCAATGATGTGAAATGCACTGTCAGTTTTACTAAATTGTTATTCCTGTACTCACTGACGTGTCGTCATTCTTGGAAATTGAGGTGTTTCCAATAATTTTATAATCATATCTCAAACATAAAGACTTTTCCCGTGGGTGTCGTAAAAGGCGAGTAAGGGAAATTAATAGTCGAGGGATGAGCAGCAGCGTCCCTCTTAGACACCACCAAAAACCTAACTACGTTTACCACCTCACTAGTAAAGTGTGGCAAATACTGGAGACTGAAGTATAGCTGTTTGAAGGCAAACAAGAATGAAATCGATCTAATGCAGATGATTTTACACAAAATTTCCCTATTCTATATATCTTATATATATGTATGTATGTATAAAAAAATAGTCATAGCCGGTTTCATAGAAAACCTACTCAATTATAACGTCGAAATTCATTTAGCCGTTCTCTAGTGACCCTGTAATAAACAGACAAACATGCACTTTCAAAAGCTTTCCATTGTTGCCTTGTTTCTAGCAATGTTGGAATTTTTTTTTACATATTTTTTTGTATTTTTCTGAGGTGAACGTCAGTTTTAATTACTTTATTGATTCACAGGTATCTGCATAGTACCGGGCTCCGGGTTCGGGCAGCGGCCCGGCACCTACCACTTCCGCACCACCATCCTGCCGCAGCCGGCGCTGCTGCAGCAGATGCTCAACATCTTTAAAGATTTCCACGCCAAGTTCACCAGCGAGTACAAGTAGACGCACTTCGCGACACGCCGCAACATATCGCAACACGTTGCAACACGCCGCAACACGCTACAAGTTATATATTGACAAATTTCATAATTTTACTCTTTGAAATACGACTGAAGTATGGCTGAAGTGTAAACGACAATGTGATTTTTGAAGGTAACTCATTACTACAGTAAGTGACTAGTATTTTTTTAACATTGTTTTGTTCCGTTGTAATTTATTTCATATGTGAAACTTAGAATTTATTTAATTAGCTCTAAGGATGTGTCAGCCGTGTCGTCGTATTTAAAAAGGAGTTTTGTGATCGAAGTTGGAAAGGGAGAGGGCACTTTGTATTTTCCAACTAAAAAGCTATGAATTACATTAATAATGTGCAACCTCCAATCGTATGGATTGTGGGAGGCTGCAGTTAAATCAGTAAAATATCATTTGTTTCATAATTTTGAATTCCGAAATTGAAATGAACTAAATGTACAGACAGTATTTGGCTTTCTTAACGGGCAGCGATATTTTTTTGATATTATTAATTGCATTATGATATTATGTACGTAGTCGAATTATACACTTATACGTTTCAGAAATGGCAATATAATAGTGTTGTGATTACTCCGTCAGTTTTAAAAAAAATTAGTCAAATGTTAAGTTGGTGCAACTCTGGTCAGTGATTATTTAGCTTCTTATTATATATTTTTTTTTTATTACTATTTTTTTAATATGATACCGAGATATTTAAATAGTAAAGGAATACATTACGAAAGTTATACTTTGTACACCGCTTGGATAGTTGAGCTGTTGCTTTTTTTTTTTAATATTACATAGTATATTTTTGTGAACTTTATATTTAAAATGCTTTTTTGTTAAAGAACTAAATTATTTCTGTCTAGTCTCGGCTGTGCCATTCACTTGGTACAGTTTTAGTATTTACAAAAAAAAAAATTCGTTTATTATTTATAATTCAATTGCATTTTACAAGGCAGTAGAACCGCGAGTCATCCGTTGGTATATCGTGCGGACAGTATTAGTTGCGACGACCTCGGCAGTGTTAAGACGAATGTTTCGCGCAAATTAGGCCCCGGGTTCGATGTCACTTACACCGATTTAGGAAATTTGAGTATTGTGTCTCTGATGTTCATTATGCGTTTTCTTTAACGATTCTATCGATAGATACGTTATCGCTACTTCATACATGAGGTAGAGTTAAATAACATCTCCCTAGACAAGGAAAGGATTATCGATAGAATTGTTTCGGTCAGCGCTCACATTACAAAGAACTATTCACTAGATGTCGCTATTTGATATATTCACAAGCTATAACGATTCTATCGATAGAATCGGTGGTTACTTGTGTAGAGGGCGACAGCCGCCTTTTATCACCGCATCGCTCGCCATCGACAGGGAATTCATCCTCACGCGCCTTAACCTAAATGGATACGTACAGTGCAGTTCTAAAGAAATTTTCTTCCGCGAACTCTCAGACTGTAGAATGAGCTCCCTGCCGAGGTTTTCTCTAGAGACAACAGTATGGGGTTTTTCAAAAAGGGTATATTAAGGTTTCTTCAGGGTCGACAACGCGCACGTGACTCCCCTAGTGTCGCAGGCGTCCACAGGCTACAGTGACCGTTTACCATCAGACGGGCTGTAGGCTTCTTTGCCACCTTTATGGTATAAAAAAGGTCTATTGATAAATTCGTTTGCCGTTTATTCAGTGAGTTAGGTGGCCATAAGAGTAACCATATCTCTTTAAATCGATTCCGATCGATCGATATGACAATTATGAACGTCTTGCACCGTGCGTTTTTCAAGGCACTTTCTCCCACGCACAACCACTCTTTGGAATCAACTTCCAGCAGCAGTATTTCCGAACCGATACGACAACATAATCTTCAAGAAAAGAGTATATTCCTTTTTAAAAGGGCGGCAGCACACCTGCAAAGCCGTTTGTGCTGTGGGTGATCATGGTCGGCTGTAGTCACTTACCATCAGGTGAGCCGCATGCACGTTTGCCCCCTGTGTAGTAAAAAAAAATACGGTTCGCACTCAAGAATTGGAACACTAGCGATATATTGGTTTCTATATAGCGTAATCTTTGAGGGGTAATATTGTAATTCATTTATCTACCACTCTTGACGCTATTTTAACGGATACATGTGAGTGTAACTTGTTAATTTAAAACCAATACCTAACTGTTACGTTTCAAGAGTGCACTATGAGACCTAAGAACAAGGATTACATAGAAGGAATGATAAATTAAAATTTTGAATAATATGGTTGTCTCCTTTATTCTTATACAAATATAATTAGTAAAAAGAGGACGAAAGATACACCATCAGTTGCTATTTTTCTCAATTCATAGCAGACTAGTGTGTAGAAAATGTTTGATATGTCAATTATTTGTCAATGACAAATTTTACATTACTAGATTATATATTGGACACACTTTATGTAGACAGTAGATCTGTATTTGGTAGGGTTATACGGCCGTATAACATTTTCTATACACTAGCCTGCTATGAATTGACAATTTTATCACTCCTATGTAATACCTTGTTCTTAGTCTGAGACCGTCATTGGTATTGAATTGAATTTGACAGTGAGATTAGATACAAGTGTATCGCGGAATATTGGTATGCTTGTGTAGATGTAGTATGACGTATTTTGATATACAAAATGTAGTTTAACTATTTTTTTGTTTTACTCATCAGGATGACGCGAAGACTAGGTTCTACTGTGATTTATTTAATTTATTCGTCACTAACTCATGTCTACATTTATTTTATTGTATAAATTAATACTGTAGCTACGTGACTAAAAGTTTAGCTTAAAATAGTGGTAATGTAACACTTGTAAGAAGAAGTAATGAGGTAAATAATTCCATTTACAAAAAAAAAAAAGTAGAAGGATTGTAACTCTAATGTAAATGCTACAAGGATGTGTCAAGTTTTTGAATTTAGAATAAGTTCGCACACTTTATAATATCATAGACAACCACGATTGCGTTCGTTTACGTCAAATGTCAAAGTATTATGTTGTCTATGAATATGGAATTAAATTTTACAATTTTCAATAAATAAATGAAATTGACATGTAATGAAATTATGCTAAAAGTATTGTATATACATAATTGAGGCTTTTGACTCTTAAATTGTTTTGATGTAAATAAAAAAATGAATTATTTAAACGTGATCTGTGCGAGATATGAAAATCGATTTTATTGACTAAAGCAGAGGGTACGATATTCTTTGATCCTAAATTTTTTAATTGCACTCAAGTAACAACAAGCGATGAAATTACTTCATGCACATCTGTTCGTCTCCTTGGGCGTATTTTGGTTACATTCCCATTAGGAAGTTAAAAATGTTAGTTTCATTGTTGATATGTCATTGTTGAGTTGTATTAAAGTGGTAAAACGCTTACTTGTGTTCTTTCTTTGATGTTCCTCTGCCTTTGATACGAGAGGGAACGCCTCATAACCAGAGGGATTTTTTTTAATGGGTGATAATGGAATGGTAACCCCGCCTGCGCTATTAGGATACGCTGGCGGGGCACCAGTGAAGGATGATAGGTGAGGATGCAGCAGGTCAGTTAGCCCATCGTGACGAATTCAACAAGAATTGAACACGATGGTTTCCAGGGGGAACCACGTGGAGGTCGACCTAATAGGGCATATTGCTAGCAATGGGGCTGTCAAACTCCATTGCTAACAATCCCTTTCCCCCTAACCAGAGGGTTGCCAAGGATAAGTGTCAGAATCAGCGGAATAGACAATCCTGCAACCCTCAGCTGTTGTTCTTTGTACGCACCCAACGCTGCATGCGATTGCGTGCTTGTCGACTACTATCGGCACCGCCGGTTCGCACCTGTACTGCTCAGTTTGCTCCCACTTATCAGGCTATTTCTCTGCTCAATTCGCTGATTGCTCAGCAGCCAGATATTGATATATTTAATGACAAAATAGATATATTTTTAAAATGTTTTGGGACACTGTAAGTGTGGTAAGTAATTTATTTAAATAAATAAATAAATAAATTGACAACGCATCAAGCCTAAAAACGGGTCAACTATTTGTCAGCTAATTGTCAAATTAGCTGACTCGCTTTTTTGTCAGTGTTCTTACTTGCTCACATAATGTCTTTTGACGTATTTGTAAAGATGTAAGATGCAGAAATTATAAGACAAAATAAATATAGAAGTTATATAGGAATCACTCATAACTATTTATAAGGCAAAATTGTAAGAAAAAGTTGAGCTGCTTTTCTCGAAGTATTTGTATGGAGACACTATATAATCTAAGGGGTTTTTTTAATGGATGATAATGGTATGGTAACCCCACCCGCGCTATCGGTATACACCGGCGGGGCACCAGTGAAGGATGATAGGTGAGGATGAAGCAGGTCAGTTAGCCCATCGTGAAGAATTCAACAAGAATTGTTCACGATGGTTTCCAGGGGAACCACGTGGAGGTTGACCTAATAAGGCATATTGCTAGCAATGGGGCTGTCAAACTCCATTGCTAACAATCCCTTTCCCCCTAATCTAAGGGGGTTACCATACGTAATGTTATTGTTGTTAAAGCGTAAGGGTATGGAGCATCGAAGGGATTATAAATAATATAAAAAAAAAAAAAATGTAAATTCTCTCCGCATGGGATTGAAGTAGATACTCTATTGTACTTTATTTTTATATTTGCTGTGTGGCTGTTGGTTCAGAATTGGCGACATATTGGCATACATAGCCACAAAAAAGTGACCAGAGGGAGACTTTGTACAAAAGTCGATTGCTTGGGTACCTCTGTCCCATTCGTGTTTCAACCGTGAAGCAGTTGTGTTTGCATGGCTGTGTTTCGGTTTGAAGGTTGGGATATGGCGTGAATTTACTGGGTACAGAGGAATAACACACGAGTCCTCAGGAATGGCAACGCATGGGGGGTATCATGGGCGTAACAGTATACTCTGTTATGTCCATGCTACTGCTCATGTCTATAGGCGACGGTTACCACTTTCCATCAGGTGGACCGTCAGCTTGTTTGCCATTCTGAGTTGTATAAAAAAAGTTAATACATAAACAAATATAAAATATTGGTAGTCGCTTAAATGTTTTTCATCTTATATTTTCTCACTGTAAGCCACGTTTCCAAAACACGTTTGGTTGAGACAAAAAGCTTTGTTCGAATCCGTCACCCGAGCGCTCGGCGAACGCTCCATATACATAAATTAAATCTCGCTTCGGAGCGGCTTAACTTTTTATCATCTGGCTTTCTAAGAGTCACGAAGAATAACGATTGTCGACACGATAATCTGTCTGCGGAGTGCAGTGTTTGTTTACGGACTTATAATAGGAGGCCTTATTAATTTAATATATTAAATATAAGTTCCAAGTGAAATATTTGCCCATCACACAATGCAGAGTCTTTGAGATTAAACCACCTCTAATATAACCTGTTATTTTTTTTTGATGGATGAAATGGAATGGCATCCCCGTCTGCGCTAACGGTATACGTTGGCGGAGCACCAGTGAAGGGTGATCGATGAGAATGAAAACAGGCCAGTTAGCACATCATGATGAATTCATCAGGCATTAACCATGATAGTTTCCAGGGGGAACCGCGTGGAGGTCGATCTGACGGGGTATATTTCTAGCAATGGGACTAGTAGGTTTTTTTTTAATGAAAATGGAATGGTAACCCCGCCCGCGCTATCGGTGTACATCGACGAGGCACCAGTGAAAGATGATAGGTGAGAACGAGTGCAGGTCAGTTGGCCCACCATGATGAATTCGACAAGAATTAACCATGATGGTTTCGAGGGGGAACCGCGTGAAGGTCGACCTGAGAGGGTATATTGCTAGCAATGGGGCTATTAAACGTCATTACTAACAATCCCTTTCCCCAGTGAAAATACAAAAGTGAGTATAAAATTATACAAATGGGTATTTTCAGGGTACAGGATTTGAAAAAGTACGGTTTGCGAAAAAATAGTACAAAACTCAGTAAATGAGTGTAACCATAAGATCACTGTTTTGCTCTGAAACACTGGAGCTAACTTTTTGTTTCTTTTGAACGGGAATAGTACTGGTAAGAAACACTACGGGCGGCACAGTATATCATGTGAGTCTGATCGACATGGACCAATAATATGCTTTCCATTTACTATGAACTGTGCTCTGTCCAATATCCCACGGTAAAGCCACGGGATAAAGCTAGTATGTATAAGGAAATAATTTATTGAAATTTTAATTTATAAGTATATAAGGGGATATTCAGTGTGCGGCGCGTGCGCAGCCCGGGGCAGGGACATACCCGTCGCCCGCCAGTTTCCTTATAGATAATTTAATTGGTAGTTGTGTCTCTTATATATGTACCTAAAATACAAAATAAGGGGCGAAAGAGATTGTTAGCGGTGGGGTCTAACAGCCCCAATGCTAGCAATGTTACTAATCAGGTTCCCCCTGGAAACCATCGTGGTTACTTCTCGTGGAATTCTTCACGATGGGCTAACTGACCTGCTTTCATTTTCACCTATCATCCCTCACTGGTGCCCCGCCGGTGTATACCGATAGCTCAAGTGGGGACACTATTGCATCATCACCCATTAAAAAAATATATACATAATACTACTTATTTTACATATGTACTGTTTTTTTTTATACAACTTAGAATGGCAAACAAGCTGACGGCCCACCTGATGGAAAGTGGTAACCGTCGCCTATAGACATAAGCAGTACCATGGACATAACAGAGTATACTGTTTCGCCCATGATACCCCCCATGCGTTGCCATTCCTGAGGACTCAGGTGTTATTCCTCTGTACCCAGTAAATTCACGCCATATCCCAGCCTTTAAACCGAAACACAGCCATGTAAACACAACTGCTTCACGGTTGAAACACGAATGGGACAGAGGTACCCAAGCAATCGACTTTTGTACAAAGTTTCCCTCTAGTAATATTATCATTATCAAAAATATTTTACTTTTTTTATACCACTAAGGTGGCAGATAAGCATACGACTCACCTGATGGTGAGTGGTTACCGTAGCCACAGATAATATACTATACCCGTAGCTTAAGAACGCCTGTAATACCAGGGGCATAACACGCGCGTTGCCGGCCCTGAAGAAACCTCTTTGCCCCTTTTTTGAAGAATCGAATGCTGTAGTATTTTGGAAAAAACTAACTATTATATTTATAATATTATTATTATTGAAAAAAACGCTATGTTATGCTGTTATTTATTGGATATACAAATATTTTATTGCATATAGAGCCAAATGCAAATAGCGTAGGCGGTTACCAATACATTTTCATTGAAAGCTAGAAATAAAGAAAGAAATATTTATTTCAGTGCTTAATTTCACATTAAAAAACACATAATAATAATAAAAAATATTTAATAATAAACAAAAAACAATGAAAAGAATAAGCACTAAGAAAATAAATTAATTATATTTTTGGTACTTATCTTGTTACGGATTTTCTTGCAAATAAAAGGAACGTTTACTAAATTAAACAGATATAATAGATGAACTGCCTGATAACTTAAACTACAATTTAAATCTATGACTAGAACTAAATTTGGACGCCAGGAGAGTCTTCATGTCACTTGCGGAACTCTGCCAGAACCAAGCCACGGCTGTTCTCAGGAATACTTAATGTGTCACTTCAGGATTTAATCAAGGGCATTTCCTTAGGCTACAACAATGAAGAAACATCGTTATTGACTGTGATATTATACGTTCCATGTAACCGATGATTATATACAGAATGAGTAAGTTCAGAGACTTACAAATTGGTATACCTAACGGTTATATGGGAGGGAAAGGGATTGTTAGTAATGGAGACTAAGAATCCCATTGCTAGCAATATACCCAACCAGGTCGACCTCCTCGCGGTTCTCCCTGAAAACTATCATGGTTAATTCCTGATGAATTCATCATGATGGGCTAACTGGCCTTTTTTTATTCTCATCTATTACCCTTGACTGGTGTTCCGCCAGCGTATCCCGTCAGCGCAGGCGGGGTTACCATTTTTACCCAAACAAAAAAAAACTGTTTCTGTTCACTAGTATTATAATAACGGAACTTAATTAGGTCGGCTGAAACCACATCATAACTCTCTTTATTCCACTTCCGTAAACACGCCGTCTGCTGGCACCTTCTGATCTTATTGTACCTCCATTTTATTAATGATATTTATTGTTCGAATACCCCGTGACTACACTTCATTGACAGCTAAATATATACGGGGTGAAAAGACCTTACGCATCACAAATAGTTCCCTAAAAATCTCATGCAATTATCTACCGTAATATTCTTTTAAGGAAACCTACTTTATAATCATTGTATAGTTATATTGATTTTTAGTTAAGACAGAGTCGTGATGTTATCACAGGGAAAAATCAATGTAAACTAAATTCAGTGCTCGGGAATCTACCAGCTCGATAAGGTGTCAAAATAAAAAAAAAATATATATATCTAGACCTCGCAAGTACGTTGCATTTCAGTTCTACTTGTAAACCGTAACGGCTAAATTGGTGTAAAAAGAGGTGGTTATATAAAAAAAATGAATTTAAATAAGAAGTGTATAACGTCTGATAATGTTAATCAGAACTTGCTAAACGTTAAGTATGCAGTGCGCGGACCTCTAGCTGAGCGAGCGACGCAACTCGAACGGGAATTAGATAAGGTATGGAGTTCAGATACAGCTTCGTATATTTTTCAGAGTAATCATTACATAGATAGATAGATAGATAAACGCTTTATTTGAGCCATTTATGACACACGTAAATTAACAAATGAGTTCATACCATTAAATTAATTACATTTTTTTTTTAAATATAAAACCAAAGATAAAATACAAAAATATGTTTTCGCCATGTGTGTCGCAGTGACCCAAATAGGCAACTATAGCTCAGTGATAGTTGTGCTTAAAAGCAAAGCACTGATTCAGATTTTTTTTTATGTGTGAAAATGAAATGGTAACCCCGCCTGCGCTAACGGGATACGCTGGCGGAACACCAGTGAAGGGTGATAGATGAGAATGAAAACAGGCCAGTTAGCCCATCATGATGAATTCATCAGGAATTAACCATGATAGTTTCCAGGGAGAACCGCGAGGATGTCGACCTGGTTGGGTATATTGCTAGCAATAGGGATTCTCAGTCTCCATTACTAACAATCCCTTTCCCCCCACTAATTCTGATTTTCAGCTGCAGCCTAAAGTCATTAGTGTAGTGATTTGAAATATAGACGTTCGGAGTTCGTTTCCAGCTCGTCAATAGAGGCACAAAATTAATAGGAGAAATGTCTTGATTATAAAAAACAATTGTTGAAATTAATTTCAAATCAGAGGAGATATCGCATAGTATACGAAAGCTAAACAAATATATATATATATATTGCCTGTAATACAGAGTCTAGTGATAATAAAACCTTATTTTAAGATTATTGAATAAAAAATATAGTAAAGAATTTTATAAGTTCTTCTTCGTATTATAGGCATTACAGTTTTTCTGCAATGTTCATAATGCTGGTCATATCTAAGTATAGGTAACGGTTATCATTTTCCATTAGCTAGGTCGTTAACTTATTTGTCATTTTAAATACCATAATTTTGTTTTGACATCACAATTTTTAATATAAACGTGCACAGCTTACTAAGACTAGCAAGGTAAAGAATTTATTTTACAACTAGTTTTTACTACTTTGTCCGCGTGATATATGTTTGCTAACCGGGATAAAAAATAGCCTATATCCTTGTCCATCGCATATAGCACATGTATACCAAATTACATAGCAATTGGGTAAACCATTAAAGTGATTTGGCGAAATAACAAACAAACTTACTTTCACATTTACAATAATAATAAGAACTAGCTACGAGGTTTGTCCGGAAAGTACGTATAAAAGTTTTTTAAAAATTTTATTTTACAATTATTCAGGTAAATCAATTTTATCCCCTTCAAAGTACTCCCCCTGTGACATAATGCACTTGTGCCAACGCCGTTTCCACTGTGAGAAGGCTCCTTGAAAGTCCTCTGGTTGTAGGTTTCTCAGCTGCCCCGTCGTAGCTTTTTTTATCTCATTTATGTCCCCCAAATGCCGCCCCCGAAGTACCAATTTGGTTTTTGGGAACAAGAAGAAGTCACACGGGGCCAAATCCGGCGAATAGGGGGGGTGTTCGGTCACCGTAATGGAATTTTTACTCAAAAACTCACGGACAACAAGAGAGGTGTGGGCAAGGGCATTGTCGTGGTGAAGAATCCAACGCCCCTCTCGCGCCAATTCTGGACGAACTCGTGCCACACGACTGTCTGACCGTTAAACGACGGTCCCCATTAACACAAGTTCGAATTCTTTCCACGTTTTCGTCGGAATGTGAAGTGGAAGGACGTCCTGAACGTGGGTCATCTTGAACGCTTTCTCGGCCCTCTCTGAATCTTTTTAGCCACTTGTGGACGGTTGGTTCCTTCACAGCATCATCCCCATAAACTGTTCTGAGATCGGCAAAAATTTCACGGCCATTCTTGCCGAGTTTCGAGAGAAACTTGATATCTTCAACGGAAGCGGGCTCCATACGGGGTTTCGTTAAGAGGTAACTTCACAGATGGCGTGACAAGCCAGTTCGCACCGCACGGCGGTCAGACCAGAACTGAAGCATTGTTAGGGACATAAGGAAGGGGTCCTGCGCTTACCTGGCCTCCCCACTCCTCTTTCTCGCATTCCAGAACACTTTTATACGAACTTTCCGGACAGACCTCGTATGTTCTCATTGAGATTTTTTTTTACAACTTAGAATGGCAAACAAGCTGACGGTCCACCTGATGGAAAGTATAGACATATATAACAGAGTATACTGATTCGCCCATGATACCCATCATGCGTTGCCATTCCTGAGGACTCGAATGTTATCTCTGTACCCAGTAAATTCACGCTATATCCTACCCTTCAAACCGAAACACAGCCATGCAAACACAACTGCTTCATGGCTGAAAAACGAATGGGACAGAGGTACCCAAGCAATCGACTTTTGTACAAAGTCACCCTCTGGTTCTCCAAAATTTCAAGCTTCTAAATTCACTATTTTAGACTGTCAATTAATTACATTATTTTATCTCTTTTACATTTTATCATTTGCAATTAATGAACTCGATAGAGTCATAAAACAAGAGAAAAAATGTCTAATGACCTATAAATACCTTTCTAATGACCCCAGATTTCCTTGTAAAAAAGTTAATGGTTTAAAGACATTGTCTGGTTTAAAACTTACGATTGGAGTAGAGAGAGAGAGTAGAATACGGTAATTTTTTAACGAGTCCCATAATATTAAGTTTCTTAATAAATTTTATTTTCATAGCTATGTTATGTGATTAAGTCGCCAATTCTGAATGATTATTTACAATCGATAGATTTCACTCTCGATTTGTTCACACGAAGGGATATAGATAAGTTGACTGGTGGAGAACACCGTCCGGTGTTAAGTCCGCCAAATGTACATAGAATTTTATATATAAATATAACACCTAGTCCTCAGGATGGCAACGCATGATGGGTATCATAGACAACACAGTATATGCCCATGGTACTGTTTATGTCTAAAGAAGATAGTTATCACTTTCCATAAGGTCGGCCATCAGTTTGTTTGCCATTCTAAGCATTGCATAAAAAAACAGAATTATTACAGTCCGACCAAAATTGGCAATGTATGACGTAACACAAAAAAAAATACACAAGATTTGAGTACCTCCTCGTTTTACAGTATTATACTCATAATTTGTTAAGTCTTCTATCTCCGTAGATCATATAGGTACATAGTAATCGACCCACGCCACCTCAAGCGACAACAAAGGCCTACGACTCAAGTAACATTGAATTAGTAGGGCATTCGGCCATTCCGCGTCGACAACAAGCGACAAACAGCCCGATAAATCTCGCTTATTGCGTCGAACTGAGTATAATTCAGGCAAAAAGGGGTAGCCGACGAAAATATGTTTTTATTGGTCGTGTTTCGTAGTTTACGACCATTGCACTTCACATTCAAAACATCACACAGAGAAATATGATTATATTTCCCCCTATATCTTAGTTTATCGTTGGATCGGACTCTATATATATATATATATATATATATATATATATATATATATATATATATATATATATATATATATATATATATATATATTGCCTGTAATACAGAGTCTAGTGATAATAAAACCTTATTTTAAGATTATTGAATAAAAAATATAGTAAAGAATTTTATAAGTTCCTCTATTTTATTTATTTAAACAACTTTATTAATCAAAAGAAAATCTGCTAGAAAAGGATTTAATGCTAGAAACATTCTCTACTAGTCGACCTTTGGGATGAAGAGAATATATATATATATATATATATATATATATATATATATATATTTATATATTTATATATATATTCTTTATCGTACTTGTAAATATTATTGTTAATGCATTTATAAATATCGTGAGCAAGGGTGGACTTATCCCTGACAGAGATCTCTTCCAGTCAACCCAATACAGTTGGATAGTATGTCGTTAGCGGGCAGATAAAGTGTACGAACAACTATTAATACCAATTTATAAATAAACAGTTAAATTAAATATTAATATATACATTGCAATATTGTCTGTAAGAGATTGCTTCTAGTGATAAGGCCGCCTTTTGTATATGCACATTCTGTATAAATACTCCTTGTATACATCTCTATTATGTGCAATAAAGAGTTTATTATTATTATTACATTGGCATATTATATAAATACGTAAACTATATATAAAACCTACCTACCTATAAATATACTACCTACATAAGAAATTTAGTTTAATGATTTTACTATTTGACAGTTCTTAATGATTCGTAACATTACAGTTTTGCTCGACTATCAAATTAAAATCTTAATTTTTAGGATTTTACCCTATTGTGTAGACATATGTATATTCATAATAAGAACTTGGCCAGATATAAGCTTACCAATATAACCCACGGTCCACGGGCTCAGAAAGAGTCCGATCCAACGATAAACTAAGATATAGGGGGAAATATAATCATATTTCTCTGTGTGATGTTTTGAATGTGAAGTGCAATGGTCGTAAACTACGAAACACGACCAATAAAAACATATTTTCGTCGGCTACCCCTTTTTGCCTGAATTATACTCAGTTCGACGCAATAAGCGAGATTTATCGGGCTGTTTGTCGCTTGTTGTCGACGCGGAATGGCCGAATGCCCTACTAATTCAATGTTACTTGAGTCGTAGGCCTTTGTTGTCGCTTGAGGTGGCGTGGGTCGATTACTATGTACCTATATGATCTACGGAGATAGAAGACTTAACAAATTATGAGTATAATACTGTAAAACGAGGAGGTACTCAAATCTTGTGTATTTTTTTTTGTGTTACGTCATACATTGCCAATTTTGGTCGGACTGTAATAATTCTGTTTTTTTATGCAATGCTTAGAATGGCAAACAAACTGATGGCCGATCTTATGGAAAGTGATAACTATCTTCTTTAGACATAAACAGTACCATGGGCATAATAGAGTAAACTGTGTTGTCTATGATACCCATCATGCGTTGCCATCCTGAGGACTAAGGTGTTATACCTATATTTATTTATTTAAACTTGAATGCACAGTAAAATTCTATGTACATTTGGCGGACTTAACA